CTGTCGACATCTTAACCAATTCTATTAATTTTGAGAAGGCAGAATCAACATTTGAGCATCGGCTGATGGAATTCATTAAATTAAGATTAGCAAGTTCATCACTTATGATCGCATGGTCTAATTTTGACAACGTTGTGTGGATCCAGTTCGATTGGTGAGTAATTTTTCTAATCAGGACTATGAAATTGTGATCAGAAAGTTTGTAGTTTTTGGATGTATAAATCAAAGCACTTGTATTATCTCTAATCATCACGTGATCAAGTAATGAGCCAGAAGCAGGTCTAGTTACTGCGTTATTTGCAACCATATAACCATTCATCATCATTAGATCTCCATATTCCTTACAAGCATTTACGTTTAGTAGATTAATATTCATGTCTCCTACTATCAACATATTGCTATGCTCATTAAACAGATTATCCATAAATTCATAGAAAGCGTTCAAATTTCCTGAAGGTGGTCGATAGATAGCAAGGATCTTTTGTCTTAAATTCTCTGACAGTATTTCGACAAGAATTGCTTCCACATCCTTATTACAAATTCTAGTTAGAACATTAGTAGCAAAATATTTACGAACGTATATAATTATTCCTCCTCCTTGAGATGTATCACGTAAAATTGAAAAGCTGTTGTAATTTTTTAATTCATATAATTTAAATTTATCAAGAGGATCAATCCACGTCTCCGCTAGAACAAGACAATCAATTATCTTATTCCTATCACTCACCAGTTCAGTTATTTGCATTTTAAATTTAGTAAATTTGTTAAGCGACTTTATGGATCGTATATTCCAAAACAGTAATGAAAAATGCGGGTTATTTTCCTTTTTTAATATTCCATTTTTTATTTGATTCACGTCGCAGTTGTTGAAATTAATTATTTGTGTGCTTTTTTGGCATGGTAACTGAGCTGATGAGGCATCATTTCATTGTTTACTTGTTCCTGAATTAAGTCGCTTTGAACCACTAATGACATCATTTTCATCATTATCTCTTCCTCTTTTCTTTTCCATTGCAGGCTTCTTCTTTTTATTCCAAAAGTCTTCATTATACTTTGCAGAAACTGATATGTAGGCATCTTCAACATTCAACAATTTCCTCAAGTCATCAATCTCCTTTTCCGAAGTCACAGCGCTGGTTCTAACGCTTTCTTTTTCACCATCCTCATTCTTCATTTTATAAGTCACCAGAATACCACGATCGGATCCACGAACATTGACTAAGGTCCCTTCATTCTTTAACTCGTAACAGATTCTTTTTAAATTCCATACATTTTTGCTTGCAGGCATTTCAGCATAATATTTCAGTACATCCTGTTTTCCTTCATCTGTAATATTCTTGTTATGGTTGATGATTTGTGCAAAAATGCGACCAGCAGTCACAGAGTCATTGAATCGAGCCCTCAACATTCTTATCTGCTTTCGTCTTCTATTCACAAATCTACTGACAGTCATCAGGTGAGCATCAATAATATCTTTGGGTGAGACAATTCGCATTTCACTCAAAATTTCATCAAATTTTTGTTTCGGCCCAATAGTTCCATTCTCGACACAATCAGCATCCTTTCCATTCACGAAAATAATATTAATGAAGTGACTATCGAATGTACAATTTTTTGCGACTTCCAGTGATTGGAGACGGTTCTTTACTTCACTTATTCCATCTGCTAAGTTTCCAACACCTTTGGTCAAGTTATTGATGGATGCGCTATTTGACTGGATTTCTTCCAAATCTTCATTTTGCCTGATTATTATCTCATTATGGCACTTCAATATCTTGTCAGTATCCTCAACAATATTTTTCATTTCATCCATCATATCAAGTAATATTTTTTTTATCTGCTCATCTTTAATATTAGTAATGCCAAGTTTCTTTTCATCTAATGATTTTCTTCTAGCTTCAAGCACGCTGACCATTTGAGGCAATTCAGACATTGGATCAACGATCGTACCATTAAGAGAAGTGATAAGAGATGACGTTGATGAGAAACTTTCATTAAGCTGATTCTGTGATGATTGCTGACTTTTGAAGAAGTCCATAATTCTCGATCCTGGATTATTAAGCTCATTTGGATTTTTGACATCTTTTCGCTTTTGCAAGTGTGCTTGATTCTTATTAGCTGCATTTCCTTTACGTTCATACATCTTGAATCAAATTAAGTTCCAACGGCAATTGAAAATTGAAATAATGTCAAGCTATTTCAAGGATTTCACTGATATTTTCAAATATTTCGTCTTTTTAACGATTTTTTTTTTGTCAACACGTTTTGGATCAGTCACGTGGGCTCGTAGCAGTTGCGTTCGAATTTGTCAATGTTATGACTGGATCTCACCGAGCTCAAAATTATTTTCTTTGGTTAATAACTTAATTGGTGAAGTTTTAAGCACTTATTTGCCTGTTGACATAATCGCATTTATTTAATGAATACGCTTGATTTTGTCCAGCCTCAAATATACTCACTAAACTTCAACCAAAATTAATTTAACCAGGTTTGATAAGAATAAGTTGAATTTGATGCTGGTTTTTCTAATAAATTTTTTGATTCTCAATTTTTCTCTTTATTTAAAGATTAATCAATCTAAATTTAATGGAATGCACTTTATGTGACTTTACGCGAATTTACTACTATAATTTAAACAAAAATACGGTCTAATATTCATTAAAATCAAAATTTTTAGGCAACGACGAGTTACAATATCTCTTGAGTTCTTTTGGTTTGAAAACATATATAGAGAAACTTTTTCAATCTGCTGGGATTTTTTCCCTCCTCACCCCCTCCGTTCATAAAAAACATTTCAAACACCCCCACACCTCCCCCCTTGAAAAAAATATGAATGGGCTCCTATCTAGTCCTCCTTGTCATTGTCTAAGCTAAGTTAAAGATTTATTCAAAATCATCAACAACTTCAATTAACTCTTAATATTGAGTATCTTTATAAGTCCTCATAATTTACCCCAAGAAAGAAACTCATAAAATATCCAGCACGCACCGTTTAAAATGTTCAACAAGTGAAACTAAAAGAGAGAAAAATAAAGCAAAAAAAAGTTTTAAAGCTCACGGATTTGAAAATAAAAATCAATAATTTTGTCATTTGGAGACTGATGACCTGTTTTTTTCTGTATCCTTAGAGTCTGCTGAATCTTTTCTCATAATCATAGACATGATGATTGGCAACTCGATGCTATCTTGTTTGTAGGAAGTAATGCAAAGATTTTGTTTCATGTGCATTTGCGGATGTGGATAATGAATGAGAAATTATTGGATGCAAGGCGTGGAAAATATCCCAAATATCCCAAAAATATTCAAAATAATCCCTGAGCCTGTATGCATTAGAATTGAGATATCCCATCATATCCTGAAATTACACGTCCAATACACTAAGGATACGTTCGGATATCTCAATTCTAATGCATACAGGCTCAGGGATTAATTTGAATATTTTTGAGATATTTGGGATAGTTTCCATGCCTTGATTGGATGTGAATTAGGTTCATTAACATTAAGAGTATTGCAAGAAGCATTCCTAGGGGGTAAGGACCCCACCACAACCTTGAGCAAACAAGCAACACTTCTAGTTACCACCTCGGACCATATGTTTTAACATATGATGCTGGCTAAGGACAGTCAGACCTATCATGCTGATCAAACAGAAGAATAGCACAACAATAAACACATTTTGATACAAAACACCAATACAGCACATTAAATGGTCCTTATTTCAGATCAAATCCATAAATCACATCTCAAATCCTTTAACAACATCCATTTATCTTCATGAATCCCAAATTGTGGCTATATATTTACATACCTAATTCCTTTTTCACAAATCCTTCACACTCCTTCCTGACACATTCTTATTTCTACAAAATTCATCGTCATGCACAAAGCATAAAACTCAACAAGTTGAATGCAATTTCCTCTCGTTTTTGCTTTTATCAGTTATGGCAAACAAAAAGCGGCACAATTGGCTCAATGCCAAACATAAAGGAATGAAAATGAAAAGTTTTTCTTTTTTGCATGACTAAAATATTCAACAGGTAAAATTCTTGCTTTGATTTTCATTTCCCTTTCATTTTCATGCTTCAAAGGCTTTAGAGAAGCGAGCATAATGGAGACACAAAGCATTAATATACAATGGAATTAGTTTGTGTTGGATTTTGTGATTAAATAATAAAGAGAAATTTGTATGGAATAATGAAATGTCAAATGTTGGGGTGTGAGATGCTTGGATTGTATGATTATGGAAGAATTTTTGATATTTTGTAAGTTTTTTTTATCTTATCTTTTTGCATCTGTGTCAATATTTATCGCATCTCTGTTTTTGCGTCTTTATTTCTTCATCTCTCATTTTTTGGATCTTTATTTTTGCATCTCTCATTTTTGCATCTTATTTTTTTCATTTATCTTAACATTCCTTTTATCAGCAGCGATGATTGAAAATAAAAAACTTTAGTTCCTTATTTCCATTTCCGTTGCAATTTCCTTTTGTCTTCTTTCTATCACTTCCTCATTGTCTGCATATGTTTACATCTTTTGAGTTTTTTTTTTCTCATCTCACAACAGCTCCACGTGCTGAAACCACCAGCTCAGTGTCGAAAATTTATCGTTACAAAAAGGAAAACGGCAGTAGATTGTGCGACGCAATTATTTTATTATTAAACAACTCGGCAGATGGCTTAGGTTGTGGTGTGCGGTGAATATTTATGACTTTTGGGGCAGAATGAAAATAAAAGAATATTTGGTAAGTTTAATAAGCAGTTGTGGTGCTGATATGAATTATGAATGGTTGCATTAACGTTTAATTTGTTGGAGCATTTACTTTTTCTTTGTGGCAGTGGAACTGGAAGTCTTCGGTATTAATTGAAGAACTCTTCTTAATTTTGACATTGAAAAATGATTTGCTTTTTTGGATCATTTTTTGCGTCTCTTTAATGCTTTAGCCTCATTTTCTATTTTTGATTCAATTTTGCATCTTTATTAGTTCTTTTGTATTCTTAGATTCATTTGCATTTCTTTTGCTTCATTTTTGCATCTTTTGTGTCACTTTTTACATCTTTCGCGTCACTCTTTGCATCTTTTGTGTCACTCGTTGTATCTTTTGCATCACTCTTTGCATCTTTTCCGTCACTATTTGCATCTTTTTCGTACAAATTTGCATCTTTTTCGTCACTATTTGCATTTTTTTTCGTCACTATTTGCATCTTTTTCGTCACTAGTTGCATCTTTTGTGACACTCTTTGCATCTCTTTAGTTACTTTTGCATCTTTTCCGTCACTATTTGCATCTTTTCCGTCACTATTTGCATCTTTTTCGTACCAATTTGCATCTTTTTCGTACCAATTTGCATCTTTTTCGTCACTATTTGCATCTTTTGTGTCACTTTTTGCATATTTGTGTCACTCTTTGCATCTTTTTCGTTACTCTTTGCATCTTTTGTGTCACTTTTTGCATCTTTTTGTCGCTTTTTGTATCTTTTGAGTCACTCTTTGCATCCTTTTCGTCACTCTTTGCATCCTTTTCGTCACTCTTTGCATCTTGTGCGTCACTCTTTGCATCTTTTCTGTCACTCTTTGCATCTTTTGCGTCTCTCTTTGCACCTTTTTTTTCGTTACCCTTTGCATCTTTTGCGTCACTCTTTGGATCTTTCGCGTCACTCTTTTTCGTTCACAATTTTTTCATGAAAATAAATAAAAAAATTCCATTAAAATGAAAAATTACCATAATTTCCTTCCTGCTAATTGAATGCATTTCCATTTCCATCAACTTTTTCACTTCATCACGTTACTGCCTCCCATTTCCCTCATGACATACTCATCAATAGACTCAATGTAATCTAAAAATAAATGAATAACAAAATAAAAATACGATTTTATGTCATGCAATGAAGTTATAAAAAATTAATTGTGTTCGCATCACAGAAAGATAGACAGCATAGAGCATGTTCATAACATTGTAGGAGAAGGTCTGATATAGCAATTATGGCACATTTTGCTGTTGATAATTTCATTAAGTGTTGATGGCATTAAAGAAAGAGAACAGACTCGAATGCCTTGTTTGCTTCATTAAAATTTAATTCTGTAGTTCTGATACCTTTTCTGGCTGTTAGTTTGGAGTATATGTCTATAAAACTTTTTAGAAGACCCGGAATGAGAAGTAATGATAATCATGACAATACTTAATTTGCTATAATTAAATTGGCGCCAAAAGGACGTTTTGTATTATTGCTTGGATGGATATTGTGACTGATTCATGAAATTTTAAATGGAAATATTGATGACTGTTTTGAACGTCATTTGAATAGATTAAAAAACTCATGGATAGATTGCCGAACTTACCGATAGACAGACTAGACTGACGAGTACAGACCAGATTTTTGAAATCACAATAAGGCTAACGCAGTTCTTAAATCTCTCCAAATGTTCGTTTCCATCAAAAGCTCAGAATCCTCTCAAAGCACAAAAGTCACAAATATCGAGAAAAATTCTCATCCTTTCGACCCTCGCCTCGTCAACATTCACCCAAGCCAAAAAGTCTATTACATGAAACTTCACAACTGGAGTTGCTCTCTTTAGTTCTCTCGATTCCTCTCATTCTCATCAAAATAGGATACAAAAAAAATATTCACGCACAAAAGCAAATCTGCCAGTTTTCTATCAACATTTACACAACGCGGACATAAAAATCCAACAATTTTTTGACATTTTTTTTTTTTCAAACTCAAAAAATTTAGTAAATAGCAAATAAAAAAAAATGTTCGCCTTAAGAAAATTTCTTTTTTGTTTAGAATTAGAAGTTGGAGCATATGCGATAGCTGCTTACTGCTCAATCACATCACTTGTGTTTCTCATATTTTTGTCTACACTTTTATACAATGCAAATGTAGTTGAGGTCGTTAAAATTGCAATTTGTGTCATTTTTGTGTCATATTATATCCTCACATCAATAGTGGTTGTGCAGAATGTTATCATGGTGAGTTGTGGTTAGGGGTTGGAGTCATTATAGCTTTGATGTTGGATTTATGATATAAAGATGAAATTAAGAGTTGATGATCGATAAAAATGAGATTTTAAGGCACATAAGTGATTCTAAGGGGTGGCTATAAATGATGTCAAACTGCTTTAGGAACTTAAATCTTAAAAAAAATGATTCGCTTGAGTTTCAACGTAAAAAACTCATATTCAGACGTCCATCAAGTACCATACATAACTTGACACAAGACTCGCATCCTTCAATACTAAACAGAAAAAAAAACAAATGTTCAGGAAACATCGAATATCAATCGGATGTGATTCAATTGTGATGAAAAGTGTGTAAATAGAATTGCAAAAATAGAATCCAATGAAGTGAATGGAATTCAACAAAAGTCATGGAAATTGTAGCTTGAAGCTATTGATAAAATAAATTGAGTACAAAAAGTTAACTGTGAATACTATTTGCTGTAGACTTTGAATTATCTGGTTAAAGATAAGAATTGTGGATTGTTATGGATTTGATTTAAATAACATTATGAACTGGAACTGTTGAAAAGGAGTTTTAAGCAAGCTTTTAACTAGTTTGTATGAATTCAGGATTTATTATAAGCTTGTTTGTATTTCATTTTCTGGTTGCTTTAAATATACATAGATCTATAAAGTGTGAAAGTTCTGGAGTGTGAAGTCATCATGGAGTGTAATTTAGTTAAAAACTCCTGCTGGTTTTTCAAATATAAAAGAGCTTTCAGGAGCATGGTCATCAAATTTACCCTTAAGAATTTTCCTGACCTCCTCTTTAATTTCATACATATGACAGAATAATCAGACTAATTTCAATAAGGTTCAAAAATAAATTTTAAGTGCCTTTTGCACTTTGTTACAGACCATAATAAAAAAGCACGTGTAGATTTCATTAATGAGACATTTTCATGCTTTATAATTCTCAACACTGTTGCTACAATTTATCAGAGCTCCAAGTCGACTCGAGTTGACTCGGGGTTTTTTGAGGGTTTTCGAAAGGTTTATATCCTGTTTCGAACTTATCTTCAAATTCTTCAAAAACGGATGCAAAATCAAATGTATAAAATGTCATTACAACTTTAATACACAAGCAAAATGTGCTCCAATGTTTTATTGAGTGAGTTTGCTGAAATTAGCCTCAACTCACCTTTTTGAATAGATTTTGATAAAATCAGTCATATTTAAATGGCTTGGTTGGATTTGGAGCTAGATTATTTTTGATTTGAGGACAGGGGTGGGGGGATAATAATGAAAGATGTATATCATATACCCTAGATGCGTCTTTGGATTTAAATAAATTATAAACATTTCCTATTAAATGTTTCATAGTCAGTTTTTTTCAAAAGTTCACTTTCAATTATCACAAATATCCAAAGCGTGGAAACTTAGGATTAATCCTGAAAAATCCTTAAAAAAATCCCTCAGCCATTAAACATGAAAATGTAAAATCCCTTTTGAATCCCAAAAGTATTACTCAAATGCATCATGAATTCAAAAGGGATTTTACCAGGGATTTTACATTTTCACGTTTAATGATCCACGGATTTTTTAGGATCAATCCTGAGTTTCCTTGCCTTGCAAAAATCATTTTACAAAAATAACCTCAAAACCATTAAAAAAGTTTAGTACACGACAAATGCTTCAAAATACTTCTTACCTCCTGTGTAGATCAATAAAACACAGCACAATAACTTGATAATAAAAATACCAGACCCCGAAAAAAATTATCTCAATTTGAGCAATAGACGTTCGTAAAAAAGGTCATGAAAATATTCAACGTACATGCATAGATGTACAATTAGAGTCACGAAAAAAAATGAGGAAGGAATAAAATTTACATAAAAATGTCATTCCTAAAGAAAATATAAATGAGGTTGATGAGACATAAATATTGATGTTAATAATAATAATGTGTGAAGGGCCCAGGCTTTCAACTGGAGGCACTGCGATTCAAATTAGAACAGAATCTATTGTACCACAACCTTTAGACCTACAGTTTATAGTGGGATCCGAACCACTTGCAAGCTCTGTACATTGCAAAGACACGAGTACGTCATAAGACCTGATGTACCCTGCAATGTACCTAGTCACAATCCATGTGCGCAAGATGCCGTAAGGAAGTCATCCAGGTGGTAGTATATCCTTGTATACCTAGCAAAGGAGGCATATTCTATGCCAAAGACTAGGCTTCGTAACTAGAACGGTTGAAATGGAAAAAGAGCTTCGAAAATTAGACATGGCCTAGGATTGAACCCAGGACCTTTGGCACAGAAGGCCACTGATGCCATTTCACCGCTTAATAATGTAATATATAATATTGATGTTAATTTGGAACGAATCCTGAAATAATTTTAATAGTTTTTTTTTTCAAAAAAGAACAATCGATGTCCAGGAATTTCTATGGTTCTTTTCTTGCTGACCCTCCACCCCTCCCCCCCCCCCTTCCCTCATCTCAATGCACGTCATAAGTGAACGGCCATCTTTATGAATATCCTTTTTTTCTTCAAAGGGCCGTTCATAAATATCGTCCAGCATTTAAAAAAACAGTTTTCATACAAATTTTGTGACAAGCTTGAGAGGGGCTCTTAAAATTTCAATATTTGATGGATATCATTTATGTAAAGCAACTTAATTCATAATAAATTTAATACTAGACCTTCGATTTCACAATTTAATGGCTTTACAATGACAATAATAAGGATGTCTTTAAGAAGAAAAGCGGAAGGATGAAGAAAAATTGACAGAAGCTTTTAAGCAAGGCGTGGAAATTCAGGATTAATCCTTAAAAATTCCCAAAAACTCTTATAAATCCCTGAGCCAATAAACATGGAAATGTGAAATCCCTTTTAAATCCCTGATGCATTTGATGAATAAATTCAAGATTTAAAAAGATTTCACATTTCCATGTTTATTGGGTCAGGGATTTATAAGGATTTTTGGGAATTTTTAAGGATTAATCCTGAGTTTCCACGCCTTGCTTTTTAAGCTATTCGAAATTTGTTTCGTCAAGGAAATTTTCACCATTTCTTTAGACGAACGACATCAAAGATGACGAGATTAAAGGAAACATCTAAGAAAGAATTTTAATACTTTTTGCTTTTTGCTGTTCAATTTTAGAATTTCAATGTGAATTTTCAGACCCCTTCCCTCCTGTTTCAGTTAAAATATCTCCATACTGAAGCAACATACAGCTACAGACTCCAAGCTTTTCATAAATCAAACAATTCCAAAGTTTTATGATAGCTTACACAACATAGCAATTCATTAACTCAAAGAAACTGTGCCAAAAAAAAATCTCCAATTCAACATCAAACCTCGCAATTCCTCGACCTCCCAACTTACATCCATAAAATTCTCAACTTTTTTTATTTCCCATTTTCATCCACAAACTAATGCTGTGCGTACTTCATCACATGCAGCGTAAGTCCGGAATCATCAATCACTTCATGCTACTTCATGCCTTCATGACATGCTTAGTGATATCAGCTGGAATTATACTTCTTGAAGTCTACAATTCTCTTGAACGGCTACTTCCATTTATTGGCGATGTGACATTCCGAATATATGCATTTATGATAATCTATTCGATACATTTAAGATATGCAGCTGATGAGAAAGAGAAGCTTGATAATGCTGAAGTGGCATCAGCGATTCCATCAGATAATTTATCAAATGCTGAAGCTCAAACTGCGATAACAAAGCAGTCACCGTTAGATCGATATGCTGAAATTGGAGGTTATGTGTTTGCTGTGCTCAATTTAGTCGCTGGAGTTATTGCCATGCCTTATTTTCTCTATTGTGTGTTCACTGCGTATATCCATGCGGATCAACTTAAGGATAGTCTTGTACTGTTAGCTTGTGCTACACTTACGACAATCTTGGCTCTCATTCTGTTTGTTGGAATCAGTCAGGTGAGTTTGATGGATTAAAGTGTGTGTTTTTAAGGATTTTGGACTGATTTTTGTGGTCAGGATTTCTTATTGAGCTCCACAAGCGCCAATTTAATAACAAATATCCTTTCAATTTCTTACAGCGCAAATCAACATTCGTCCTTCCAATGCTCATAGTCAATGCAATTCTTCTCATCGTTGCCATTACATCTGTAATCCTTCCGACTATCCTTCACGATCCAGGCGAACCAAAAGTTCCAATAAAACGAGAAGATTTAAAATTTGAAGACAAACTGCCGCACTTTAGTGCTCTCATGATTGTCGCTTGGGTATTCTTGTTCCTATGCGTGTGGTCTTTAAATGATAAATTCAAGAGTGAAGAGCATGATAGGAAGATTATGGCGGCAGATAAAGATGCAGTTACAAGTTATGGTGCAGCAGATGGAGGTCACAAATAAGAATTTTTGAAATGATGCCAAAATAATATATGATGAATATGTGGAAAACTTTGCCTTACAACTCATGAAGTTTAACAATTTTTTCTGTCCTTATTTTTGTTGATTTTATTATTTGAGGTTATTTTTGGACAATATTAATAGAAATCATATATTGTGTAGCAATAGAATAGATTGTAATGAATTAAAGTGCTACAGGGACCAGAATAAGTTCATGACAATGAGTCTAATGACATGAACAATTGTTATTGTTGATTATTGTGGGGAATTGAAATGAAAAGGATGAAATGTGGTCAGAATGGTTGGTTTGTGGATCAAATTATGGTTCTCTGGGATCCATTGCTTGGAAAAACTTTTATTGGATGATGACTCAGGGTAAAATCTAGAGTCAATACAAGTTTGCACCAAAGGTGATGTAGAATCAAGCTTCTAATTTTCAAATCTAGGTTTCGATTAAATTCAGGCTCTCGTTTCAATCTTCTATTGACGTGACGTGATACATTTCACGTCCGTTCTGACAATATTCCATTATAAGGTAATCTTGTAGCTCTTGTTCCTATTTCTCCCGCTACACTTCAAGTTCCTGATCCATTCCTTAATCCAACGTTGCCCAAATGCCCAATTATGGCTTGATCTCGTACATTAAGTTATCTAAGACTAAGCTAGGCTAGCCTAGATTAGTACAGGACTGATACTAAGTTTGTTTTATGAGTACTTTAATAAAGAAAATGTCCACAAGAGTAGTTCTATGCCACTAGTAGTTTAACTTAATATTCAACAAGTAATTCCAATTCCTCACAAATATCCACAATAAAGTAACAAAATTCATACAAAAAATTCACTTTTCATTCATCTAAGTACCAAAAATGAACCAAAACATTAATATTCTGCTCATTTTCATCGCATTTCTCACGACTAAAGTAAATATGATAATATCCATTATCATTATGCATCAGGTAGTAAGGAATAAAAGTACATACATACATTCTGCCACACAAAATATTTACATACAAAAAATAATAATGCAAATGCTTTGCATGTTTAAAGAAAGCCAAAGGCTGATTTTTATCTCATTTACCTGTTTAAATAAATTGTAGTGTTAAGGAATAAGATGATTCTTCCAACGTGACCTGTGACCTATGGGAGATCGAAAGTTGGTCATAAGATTGATCGTCCGATGGGGTAGATCAGTGCTGACCAAAATTTTTCGAGCCACGGCTCACCTTAGGGGTAAGCCATTACCAAAGACGCACAGAGCATGTGGATCGCGTCATTTACAAAAAACTTCTACGGCACACAATTTTGACAACACTGGGATAGATTGCAAATATTGCTGGTTGAACTGTTTAAGTATCCCAAGAACTCTTGAAAAGAAGCTGTTGACAGAGACAGTATTGCATTTAGTGTGGGTATTTGGCAAATGGTAGCCAGCGATAGAGCCAGCTTCAGGCGGTTTCTAAGGGAGGCCATAGATCATAATTATTTAAATAAGTATGTTTGATACAAAATTTGAAAAAAACTACTAAGTTTTGGGGGTTGGTCAGCAACAATGAAGTTTTCTCAAGTTGGACATACAGTTATAGACTCAACCAAACCTAGCTATCTTCCAAAATACCAGATTTTTTCTAAGCTTTGATATTTAAGGTTCGCTAAATCAGGAATGCAGAATAATATGGATGAATATTGACTCTGAACCCAGGTCAAAAAGTTAATGTCAAAATAACCCAAATAAAATCTTAATTTAATTTCCTTAAAAAAAATTCATTAGCACACTAAGCATGTCAAACATAATCATTATGATTAAGAGTCGTAAAGTGGCAACGCAAGTTATTTAAGAGAACAAAACTCTTTTGTATACACATAAAGGTATTTGATGTGTCTGTTAGGTGTCTATGTGCGAAGCAAGAAGATTTGACTAAACTGGAACAATATTAAGATTTAGGAATGTATTCAAATGTTAAATGAGTTTAATGAGTATATATTTAAAAGCAAGGCTTATAAGGATGATCAAAATTAAGATAAATGTGCAGCAATTAGGCTTGAAGGACAAAGAAGACTAAAGTTATGATTTCTAATTTTGATTCATATAAATGGTCGGCACATGTGGTTTTTTAATGGCAACAAGTTTCCAGCTACTCGTTGCAGTTTCAGTTGAGGTCCACCCAGGTTAGTGGCGTTTATAAAGAATGCAAAAGCATGTTGAGATGGGAATTAATAGCTCCAAATCAATAAAATCTCTTGAAAAAAAATGATCAACTTAATCGTCATTTATGAAGCATTTCCTAAGAAGTTGAATTCATTAGTTGATCTGATATCATTAGTAGACATTTGGTCGAAGCAGAGGCTAAGTTATACGGAGAAGAAAAGCTTTACAGAGATGTCAGGCCTTCAAAATATTAGTTTACAACCATTACAACTTCAAAAATTGTATAAAATTGCCTTTCAAAATTCATTTCATCATTAAAAATTTATATTTTTTCATTTTTGCTATCAAATTTTACAAACCTCTAAAAACAATTTCGAGCTTTTACTGCTTTTTGCAAACAAAACTTTTTTTATAATAATATACCTGCCGAAATATAATTAAATGTGATTAATTGTGGCAAAAATTGTGTAACAAACAAAATACAAAAAAAAATTTATGTAAGCTTAACAGAAATTTGGAACAATATACAAACTAGTACATTATATATTGTAGTATATACACAAGAAGATATATTTGTAGATGTTTGGAATATTTTCGAGTTTAGAGGAAGTTTGGTTGAAAGTTTTTTACAATGTGAAGCTTGATGACAATGGCTTGATTCTGGTTATACACTAGTTTTTCTAGATTCATTAACCGGTTTAGTATACTTTGTAGACTTTAACTAAGTCACCCAACCAAACTTAACTCAAATAGTTTAACTAAATGTTAGCAATTCTAAGGCTGCTATCTGTTAAGTGTCTAAGACAAAAAATTTATAAATCCGAAAAAAAACTCAAAAAGAGAAGCAAAAATTTGCCTTTTATGCGAACGTTAACTCAGTTTATATTGTCTTAAAATATTAATATAGCCAAAAACATATAAACTGTGAATGAAAAATGTTTCTACAAAGCGCTCAATGTGCAGATTTATTACAATTAGCATTTAAATAAGATTACTCAGAAATGTGAATAAAGAACGATATGTCTTTGAAAATATGTTGTAAGGTTTTTTCTGCTTGTTTTAACTTAATTGAGATTTTAGGATGACTGGCTAATTAAGGCTCATAAATGTTGCTCCATTTTAGTCACTTTTAGTTCAATTTATTTGACAAATTTCACTTCCAGATTTGCACATAAAAGAACCTATCAACAAAATCCACAAAATCTAAACTGCCTTCCCTCATCCTTCTCACTCATCTCAGCCTTAATCGCCTCAACATGTTCCTCAGCTTCCAGCCTTTTAGTCTTCTCAGCATCTCGTTCCTTCTCTGCCAACTTCCTCTTAATCTCTTCCTCATTAATCTTTATTCGAAGGTCATTAACGTCCTTTTGTCGCAAATATTTTTGTTCCTCACATTTGAGTCTCTCCATCTCGATAGCAGCCTTGCGGCTTTTTTCTTTTTCTTCCTCGTCATTCCTCACTTTTGTAGTCGTCTTTTCAGCCCATGTTGTGTAGAAATTGTCTATTCGATTTTCTAGATTTTTACGGAATTTCTTTTCGTGCTCTGAATTTCCCATTTTCATTGCGTCTTTAAAAAACAGCAGGCAGTGAAGTTTACACATTTGATGGATTATTGAGACATAATTTGTGCTGATGATGCTGCTTTCATGATCTTGAATTGATTTTAAATAATTATCAAAGCAGGAATTGATTAACATGCTTAATTGCTGCTCAACTGTCGTCTCGTAAATTGATTGAGCTTCTGGCAATAAATTTGATTGAAACAGTTTGAAATATTGATCGATGTAGGCTAAGAATTCGGAACTAGTGAGATCCTTTCCGTTCATCCTTTTTGGGATTAAATTGTCTGGCTTAAGGAGATGATCAATGAGCTTCTCAATTTCTTTTTTGAATTCTTCATCCATTTCACCCCAATTGCCATCATATTTCCTGCTCTGACGCTTACCGCCAGCAACTGTTGAGCCTGAAAATAGAAATCACAAGAGTTTTTATTTTGTAGGCAATTTGAGCAACTTTCATTGTTTTAAGACTGACAGAAAATCAATCAACAAGGACAATAATACAGCTATGTTATCATTAGAATTGCTAACCTGGATGAGGAAGTAAAGCACAGCCTATATTCTCAAAAGAGTTGTGAATGAACTTTCGAACAGAGCGCAATTCTGGCTTTTGATCTTTTTTTATTTCCAAAAATGTTTGAAGGTATTCTTCGCCACCTTTTATACCAAAGTCATGATGATCTGGATAAACCTAAAAATAAAAGGCTTATTGAATAAAGATTTTCAAACCCGAGTGATACAAAGGTTCAAGTTGACACGTTGATGATGTTTTATCACTGCTACACATCCTTTAATTAACGCATGTGGCAGCTGTAACCTTGTCATTACCATCAAGGCAACACCATATCACCATCGTGTTAAATTGAACCTTTCCATAGCTCGAAAGACCAAATTATAATCAGCAAAGCCACTTAAGCTCATTTGACCAGCACCAGAAGCTTAATGGTCAACAAAATAAATCAAATACTCACCCAATCTCTAATAAGGAACATCAAATTCTGAAATGGTTTCATATTTGACCCCACAGCAGCTGACAACCTTGCAAACTCGGTGGCAAATTGTAAATACTGTAGCTGATCCTCCTGCACAACACCCGTCAAATTCAAAACCTGAACTGATGAAATTAAAGTTCCAAGAGCAAAAATCCTCGAATTTTCCGTCGGTGATGTTTCATTGTCAAAAAGACCTTGAGTGTCCATCACGACAATTGCAAATTTTTCATCACTAATTTCGGACGTATGCAGAAATACATCATTCCACATGACAATGCCTTTAGTTTCACACGCTGGACCTGAACGCCATGAAAATCCTTTTAGTTGTTCATTTTCTGGTCCTATCCAATTTGATGGGTCTGTGAGTGGATTATTTGGGTTGTTGACTGATTGATACTAAAAAATAAGGAAGTTTGAGATTTGAAAATGCCTAAAACTGAAAGAAAACTCACATGAGCATATAAGAACCGCAAGCAGTAATCCAAAAAGAAGCTTTTGCCTTTCCTATAAGCACCAATAATCGAAAATACAACAATTTTCCGATCTCTAACTTCGGGATGATTAAATAGCTTCTGAAGTTGTTCATTGTTAACCGAAATTTTGTTGTTGTTTACGAATCTCAAAATGTTTTCAGCATTTCCGTGCGGATGACTCAGCGGCGTATAGGCTTTATATATAATTAAAAGTTGAATGAAATTTAAATTAACTTTATCGATTGTTTTTTCTTTTAATTTTGTCTTCTTACTTTTCAGATCTTCATCAGCATTCGAATTCTTTGAGTTATTTTCAGTTGGCATGATGCTTCCGTTCATTTTAATTATTTTGTATTTTGTGACTTTATGCTTATACTTATCTGATAATTTTGTCTTGTTTAGATTGCAGATTATGCGGGCTTTTTTTTATCAGATATCTAATCTGCGATGTGGTCTGCTTGGTGATAAAAAATTAAAATTTTTAACTTGATTAATATTTTTAAAGGGGTCTGAGATTAGTTTTGAGTAGCTTGTGAGAAACAAAACGATTTAAACTATTAAATTAGATTGAGAACTAATGCTTCAAGGATCAGTAATCTACCATCGAATTGAAGTAATATCAAAAGGTAAATGTATAGCACGGAGAGGGCCTGGAGCTGGAGCTGGAGGCACTACGATTCAAATTAGAACAAAATCTATTGTATCACACCCTTTAGACCTACAGTTTATAGTGGGATCCAAACCACTTGCAAGCTCTACGCATTGCAAAGACATGAATACATCTAAAGACCTGATGTACCCTTCACAATTCGTGTGCACAAGATGCTGTAATGAAATCATTCATATGCTAGTATATCCTAGTAAAATTAGCAAAGGAGACTCGTTTCATGCCGAAAACCTTAAAACTACACCCAACACATTAACCGAGCTTCGTAGCTAGAACGGTGAAATAGAAATAGAGCTTCTTAAACTTGACTTTCATTGCTGGGACAGAAACACAAGTTTGTTAAACCGCCCTTGGATGGAATCCGCACGAGAAAAGACACCCATGAGCTCCAAAAGCTACTTGGCACAGAACAGTGATGAAAAAATGCCAGCTTAATGTTCGAACAGTGAAATATGTACAAACTAGGTGACAAGGCCAGCAACAGAGTCAGATGGAAACCATTTGTTGTAACCTAAGCTTCACATAGAAACATGGTTACATTAAATAAACTTGACTTGGCCTGGGATTTAACCCAGAATCTTTGGCATATAAGGCCAACACTCTACCACTTAGGCTACTGAAGCCATTTCACCGCTTAAATAGAAGTAAGATTTTATTGCAAATGTGGCTGTAAGCTGGAATAACATTGATTTTATGTGGTTCATGGCAGTACTGCGGATCATTAATGTGTCACTGTACACAGGTTGGCAAAAACTTCACGGCACCATAATTTTGTCTGTTAAAACTGAGCTTGAATTGAAATTAAAATGAAAGTGATACCAAAAATTCAAGAATGTGGTTGCGGGAAGGTTCTTTAAGTAAGAACCTTATGATGTGAGTGATGATATGTCAAGAACATGCCGTAGCCAACTGATAGAAACTACACTTTTCAAGGTTCAAGATGAGCCATGTCACATTAGCTTTGTTAAATCTCATAGACTATTCTCAAAGATTCTGGAACCAAATAATAGTGCAAAGAATGTTTTGATAGATTGCAAATAACTTCTAAGGTTAGACTGTACTGCGAGTAACTGGTTTACCAACACTGTCATAGATCTGAATTAATGAATTTTCATGAACAACAATTTTCATGAAATTATTTATGTCACTAATATTTCAACAAATCTGACCTTTAATTTTTAAAATTTATTTCACAGACTTTTCAGCACTTTTTCTGTATTTTTCACGTAATTCTCAAATAAAATTCACAAAACGATTATCATAAGACACGATATTTACTTAATAAAATCACAGATTTAAAGCAATGGAGTCAAAAAAAAACATTTTTTCAATAAAAATAATGCACCAAAAATAAAATCGTTCTGATCACAAGAAAATTCATGTGAATTGTATCGAGTTTCTTAACGCACTAAGAAAATTTTGCACAAAGAAAAAAAACACTCAAAATAGTATCAAGGTCAATGCAAAAATAGAATTTCTTTTCTCTTATTTTCTTATTGCTATACAGCATCAATTTGAGTAATGAGAATATATTTTGTGTGTTATGTTTTGTTTAAGTGATCGGCAATTTTTTTTTGTTTATAAGAAATTTATTATGTGTTGGAAATAATTGATTTTTTGAGAAGATTTATAATTTTTTAATATCTGTTTTGTTTCTGATTTACTTACTTCTTTTGGTTTTGACGCATGTGAGGTTGTTACCAAGTGATAGAAATGTATAAAGCTAGCAATATTCTTTAAAATCATTGGTTCATTCCAAGTTACAAGTACAGCAACTTAATCATCTTTTAAGGTCTCGTGATCTTTTACTATCCACTAAATCTATTAATGCTAATCTGTCAGCTTCCTTAATAAGAATATCGAACCGTCAACTTACTTTTGATCAACAGTGATCACTACAATTTATTTTGTCCCTTGTTCTCAAGCAATTTGCTAAGCCACATTGGCATGCAGATAAAAATGTCAACGTGTATACTTCAGTAATAATAATAATTATGTGTGAAGGGCCTGGTCTTTCAGCTAAAAGCACTGTGATTCAATTTGTAAAGAATCTATTGTATCACACCCTTTAGACCTACAGTTTATAGTGGAATTCGAAACCTGCCATGTACCTAGTCACATTTCATGTGCACAAGATGCCGTAAGGAAGTCATACAGATGCTAGTATTTCTTAATATACCAATTAAAGGAGACACATTATGTGCTAATGACATCAATACTCTACCTCGAACCGAACTACGCAACTAGAACGTCGAAATGGAAAAAGAACTTCGAAAATTAGACATGGCCTGGGATTGAGTCCAGGACCTTTAGCATGGAAGGCCAACGATCTACCATTTAGGCCACTGATGCTTTTCAACGCTTCAGTACTCTTTTGTTTTCTTCACATCATCTTATATCACATGTTCTTTATGCTTCAGAACGAGTGCTTTTTAAGTTCAGTGCAGAATGAACTAGTTCTCCTCTCAAGAGCCTCAACAGAAGTTTAAAAATACAAACTAGCATCTGCAGAAAGGCTAACAATCGACTTTAATTTTTATTAATGAATTCAGAGTTCAAACAACTTTTTAGAATTCTACATAAGACATACAACAAACGATTCCGATGAACTCAGTTAACTTGCAAAATTTTCATATACTATTCAATAACTTGAAACTTGCCACATGTTCATTGCCTAAGTCAATTAATCAGCTAGTAATACTAATCTTAAGTGTTTACCAATTAATAACCTTAACTTAACAGTTTATAATACCTTGTAATCTCAAGCTTCATATCTCGTCTAACGGATAATTTCTACTATAAAGTTGAGCACCATGCGAACGATTTGTTATCATCACTAAGTCAATATAATTATGACTCATTGAATTTTCGAGTAAAACATAATTTACCGAAACCTTTTTAATAACTTCTCTATATGAATTTTTCTTTTTTCTATCTTTCTTAATTTTTTTCATATAATCTATTGGTTTTTTTAAAGTTTTTCAACTATAACTTATTTGCCTTAATTTAACGCTCATGCTCTAATCCAAAAAATATTATCTTCTTATAATTTGATTTAAAACCGACTTTTGATCTCATTTAACTTAATAAAAAGGATAATTATTATTATTCTGAAGCGATACTAATACCTTGTGCTTTGATTCCCATGTAAATAACAGCAACAGAACAAACTTTTCCTATTTTTTTCCTTTTAAAAAAAGCTGAGAGTTCTCGCTCTGAGAGAATGAAGCCATGATTGTTGCTTGGCAACGCTCAGATACTCAAAAATGCGAACGCACTATGAAAATTTAAAGAAAAATAAAGATTCATAATAAGACGTAACGGCGTCACTGGGCTTGATTAGATTATGAATTTAATGTGTTGACTAAACACAGTTGTAAGTTTTAAAGATAATAATATAATACATTCATTTAATAGTTTTAATGTTTTTTGATTATTTTTTCAATATTTTAAAGCTACAATTCTGTTTACCCAGACAGTGAGACATATGGGAACAGAATGATCTTCAACGTTGGATTTTTCTTCATTCGCTCATGAGTAAAACCTTATTTCAATTAATTATCTTGAGTTTTATCTAGAATAAGGTTCAAAACCTAGTTATTTTAAATAATTATAAATGTCCAGCGTTAATTGAGGATATTTCAGCATTTACCAAGCAATCAACACGTGTCAAATATTAATTCCTTAAATATCTCAGTTTAATTATCATCAGTTTTTATTAATATTCTCCTTAATAAGTGCTAACTTTAATCATAAGATGATTAATCTTCTCAAACATTTTAACTTTATGTAAATTTTTCTCAACTTTTTTCATAAATTCTTTGTTCAATTTAGTATGTTTGATCCTTAAATGCTCCAGTCTCACATGTCCATGTCTTAAATAGTCGCTTAGCCACTCGACATCCTCACAATCTTCAATCTTTAAATATTTTATGTTGCACAGCTCATAAGTGAAAGGCTTACAGTCAAAAAAGTCAACAAAATTCAGCACCAAAGTTTCAACATTTGGTGGTAAAATGATTTCAGGCATTGCGCAGCACTTGATCGTTAAATTGTTGAGCTTCTCAAAATGATCGATGTGATTTTGGTACACGACGCAGTTCTCAATGTGTAAATTTTGTAAGTTTGTGAATTTTGCTGACCAATTTCCACTGACATTGTTGACAGTCAAACTTTTGACCGACTGAATAAAGTTTAACCTCAAATTAATGGAATCAATCCACATGCAAGAGATTGTGAGATTCTTGATGTCCTTAAAGTCTCTAAAAAGTGTCAGTATTGATGCATTGCAATGATCAATTGTCAAACTTTTCAATCTTTTTCGATGATTCAGCAGAAATTCCTCAAAATGGATGGATTCAAAGTTTTTGATATTTTTTAGTGTCAAACTTTCTAGGCGGAAGTCAACGACGTTTAGGTAGTCAGTCTCGAAAAATTTAATATCTTCTGTATAATTGATGATTGTCAGGCTTTTGAGCTTTTTCTGCATTTCAATGAATTCTTTGTAGCCGAAAATTGAATCCTTGTTTCTGAGATGAACTTCCAGGTCCGAAATTCTGCATTTTATGAGGATGTTGAAGATTCCATTAACTGCTGTTAGTGACAACTTTTTGAGTTTCAATTTTGGCAGTGGATCCAGGAAATCAACAAGTTTGAAATCAATCGGCTCGTCCTGATTGACGAGGTCCAAAATTCTCAAATTTTCACATTTTGTGAGAAGTTTTTTGAAATAATTTGCATTAATTTGACAGTCTTGAAGTGTCATTTCTTTTATAGACTCACCGATGTCTATGAATATGAAGTTAAATTGATTCAGATCACATCTTGAGAACTTTATTTTTGAGTATTTTCGACTTCCAATCCAATTTTTATTATTTTTATTTTCTGTCAACAAAACTTCAATTTTGCTTAGCAAATTATTGTTGGAACTGACGAATGTGTTGAGGAATTTAGAGCATTTTGTGAGCTGAATGAGACTCCATGCTGGCAAATACTCAAATATTTCTATAAGAAGCTCTTCTGGTAATGAATTGAGCGATGAAATTTGATGACTCATCAAGTTATTTTGTGGATAAAAATTTAAAAAAAATTAATTGAGCAATGAAAATTTGTGATTTGTTCACTCTAAATTGTTTTTTGACTAAATGATAACGACGAAGAAATTTGGAATGTAAATAAACAAAGTTTAATCTTTTTACTCACGAGAGAATTGTTGAAAAATGAGAGAGTAACGGTCTTTTTTTAAACTGAGTAATATTTAATATTTATTTGAATTATTTGTAGTTGTTGCATTTTGGAGCTTTGTAGCTTAAACACATCTCTCCTGACTGCACGATCTTTAGTCAATGACTGGACTCTATTGGTTGCTAATCACTAATGAACTAGATCAGTGTTTCTCAAACTTATTATTAAACGAAGTTGTAATCCATTCATCATTCCGTGATTCTATTAATGCCAAAAAAACTTAAGGAGATCTTTTCAAATAATAATACTTGAATTGCCTTTTGAGCTATAATCACTTCGATATAGCAACAGTTTATAGTAGAATCCTAATCCTTCAAATGGTATGCATATAACAAAAAATGAAACTTAAGAAAAACCTGAGAATCAAGTGTGTGAACTTAATGACGATGATAAGTCACAAAAACCTTAAGGTTAGCTAAATGACAACGATAAATCAGAATTGCCTAAGAGTAAGCAAAACAACAAAAAGAGCGGCGAAATGAAAAGAAAGTTTCAAAGTTGATTTAATCTACATCTGAAGTTAAGATTTTGGAATGTATCATTTTGAAGTTCTTACCTTAGGTATAAATCAATTAGGTATAGATCAATGTAATACCTTAGGAATAAAACTTAGTTGTAGCCAATTATTAAATAAAACATTTTTTATCATTTATTCAAGATAATATTTACAAAAATTAAGTTTATGAAATTCTACAGTCAATACTAAAACCTGAAGAATTCCTTTCGGCTCTTAATTGAATGTTTTGACATAAATCGCTCCAATTAACGTTGGTCTCATAAAATGAATAATCAGCTGTATGTTCTTTTGGCAATAAAGTCGTGTCCTCAGTTCCGCTTTTCATTGCTTTTCTACATTCACGCTCAACAATTTGCAGGTTTTCAGGTGTTTGTGTCAGATACAATTGAAATAAAGCATTAATTTTCTTATTTATCGTCTCTATAAAGCTACTATAATCAATTCCTTTTCCTCTACATAACGATTTCAAATAGCTGATTGTGTCTTCTTTGCCAAAGTTATGCAAAATGTTTTCATCTCCAATTCTGTCCTTGTGCGTTATAACATATTTAATGAAATGGTTGTAAGATGAATTCACAATTTGCTTTCCATTGTTATTTTGAAAAATTGTTTGTGGACTCGGAAGTCCGTAAGTTCTAAATGATTTAATATACAATTGTAAATACTCAAAATAGTCAATTGCAGTTACGAATTCTCCATTAATTTTTTTTAGTAATATATTTGAGGGATGGAGTAGATTGTCATTCGGTATGATGTTTATAGGAAGTTTAAAATATATCGTGCAATCATAGTCGTCAAACGAATTTCGAATAAGTTCACGGACAGGATTTAAATCACTCTTTCCATATAAACGAGTATGAAAAAGATCATCAAAATATTTCTTGCCATTCTCTATACCAAACCATGTCTATATAAATTGAAAGGGGTATTAAAGTTAAATAAGGGGTATTAAACTGATTAAAATGAACAAAAATGATAAAATCCAATTTATCATTTCTTACCGAATCTCGTAAAATGAAATGAATATTCTGGAAAAAATTTTGTGGTCCTCCAGAGTTTGAGAATTGACCGAATTCTGAAGCATATTTCAAATTTTTAAGATATTTTTTTGGATCACTATGCGACAAGTTAAGGACTTGCAGGGATGAAATTAAAGAAGCAAATATGAATAATTTTGAACTTTCATAAGGATTTGTTTCCTTTTCAAAAATTCCATGGAAGTCCATAACAACAACTGCAATATCATCTTCATGTACAAATACATCATTCCATATAATCACTCCAGCTACTTCATGATGTTTTCTATAGTAAGACAAAAATCCAGTGTCAAAATTGTTTTCAGGAGCATTCCAGTGGTCAAAATTTCTAAATTCTGTTCTATTGTGTTTTATAGACTCGTACTGAAATAAATGAAAGATTGAAAGTTAATCAACTTTTTTCGAGGCGTTTCAGGACTCGACAAACATTGACTTGACTCGAGTCGATCTCAAGCTTTGAACAGTCTCAGAATGAATGCAACTTACATAAAAATATAAAAATTTCAAACACGCATCAAGGAAGAAACTTCTTTCTTGCTTATTATTTCCACTGGCTACAATAACAGCAATTTTTCGATCTCTAACGTTTGGATGTTCAAACATTTTTGCCAGCTCATTAGTATCTATTGTTGGGGTGCCACTTCCTTGAAAGTTGATAACATTTTTAGGCTCGCCATATTCAAGAGGAGCAGTTGCTGCTACAACTGTCGATTTATATAAATGTTTCGGTGTGGCTTTTTGTTGGTTTTGAGCAGTACACGACAGCTGTTGATCACCAACGAAACCAGAAGAAGTTGGAAACATTTGTTTTTGATCAGTTCTTGTTGATTCTTGAGTATCATGTTTAAAGGTATTTGGTTGATGTGATGAACTAGATGTACTGCTTCCTGGTTGATTGGAGTCTTTAATTGAATCTGTGATTTCAAATTTACCTTCATTGAGAAACTTGTTCGATGTATGTCCAACTGATGATGAATTTAAACTTGGTTTAAAATTGTTTCTTTCATTGCTAGAACTAGAATTATTTTGAATATTTGAGATTTCTGGCTTCTGGGGTTTTTCATCAAGTTTTGGATAGTTTGGCTCTGGGACTTCCGGTAAAACTAAAAAAATTATTTAAAATACAAAACAGCAATTGATTATATTAAATCAGGATTATTAACCCTCTCGGTACCCGCCTCAGTTAAGATTATTGACTATGAAATCTACTTTTTGGATATACCTAGGCTATTTTATAACTGTTTCTTGCTCTTAATTCGAAACAACGCTGCACAACTCACCTTCATCAGTCAATTTTATTGCTGCTATCTCAAGTTTTTCTTCCTTCTTCCTCTCTTCCTCTTCAGCTTCTTTAATCTTCTTTGCATTCTCAATTTGAATTCTTTTAGCTTCAACTTCGTCTTCAATAGTTTTTATTGTTTCTTCTTTCTCTTGCTTTTGTCTCTCCTTCTGTTCTTCTAAAGCTTTACGCTCTTGTTCAGCTTGTTCATTAAGCTTAGCAATCTCTTGTTCCTTTAACTTCTCCTCAAGTTCCAACTTCTCTTTTGCCTTTTGTTTTTCAACTTCTAGACGCTCTTCTGCAGCTTTTTTCTCCCGCTCAATTCTTTCGACTTCAATTCTCTGTTTCTGTTCCATTTCCAGTCGGAGCTTCTCCTTTGCTTCCTCTATTGCTATCCTTTCATTTATTATCTGTGTTTTAATTTCTTCGTAAGTTTTTTCAACTCTTTTTTTCAAAAGCATTCGGAATTTTGTAAAATCTTCAGGACCTCCTAATTTCTTTGAGTCATCGAAGGTCTTCAATGCTTCACTTTTACACTTTCGATGCAAGGCTTCAAGATCATCTTCTGTATTGACTAAACCTTTACCTTTATGCCCTAAATCTTTGTATTGCTCAAGACATGACCGTATCAATTTTTCCATTTCCTTCTTAATTGTTGAATCATAAACTGTCTGAGCTTGAAGGGCTTCATCTGTCTGGAAGACTTCGAACTGAACTTGAATAAAGTTAAGGTACTCTTCTCCAGTTAAGACACAACCATCAACTTTCTTTATGCCAAGTTGTTGTGGATTTAAAATGTGAGAAATTAGAGCTTTCAGTTCATCTTGGAATTCTTCATCCATTTTACTCCAACTTCCATCATATTCTGTTAGTCCATTTTTACCTGTCGATACGATTTTACCTGTAACAGAAGTTGTTGTAGTTATCAGCTACTTAATATGGATAAATGTGACTTTACTGCTGGGGTTAGCTTAAAACACTACATTGGGGCTGGTTTTTAGAGTTATTCTGGGGACCTTACGTGTGAAAATTAAATTCAATGTCCTGCTTTACTAATAAATTAAATCGGAGAAAAGCTAAAAGCTGGCCTCGATTAGCTTTAAGAACCGTCCCTAGAAGTGCACAGTTAAATTTTACTCGAGCAACAAAAAGGTTCAAGTTGATGCGGTAGGACTGCAACTGCCTCTATGGTGATGGAGTGTATGATGTCATGACTGGCATCTTGTCGACATGAACTAGAGTATGGAACTGATCGAAAAGAGATCATAATTCAATCTATCAGTTCCACAATTCTAACTTGAATCTTTTTTTTTTGTAATTCAAGTCATTTACGCTTAAAAGTAAAGCACATCGATATTTAATTCTACAGTAGGGTGCTCTGATTAGCACTAAATACCAACTCCTAGTTCTAAGTCACATTAAAACTCAAGCCAAGCAGCATTATTCAACGAACCTGGATGAGGAAGCAATGAACAAGTGATATTTTCAAAAGAGTTATAAATTGAATCACAAATGTACTGCAAATCCATCTTTTGAGTTCTCATAGTCTTTTGAAAGTGATCTAAGTATTTCTTTCCTCCTTCAATGCCATAATCAAATTCATCAGGATTGGCCTTAAATAATTGACATTATTTTAATTCTTGTATGTTTAAAAGATTAAATATCAGAGGTCGAAATTAGTGAAGTGAAGTCGATTCACTTCACTTCACTTCACTCCAAAATTTAATCGGTTTCAAGTCAACTCAAGTGAACACGAGTAAACTGAGTTCACTTCATCGACTTTGACCTCTGTTAAATATTTCCTTACCCAATCTCGAATAAGAAAAATTAAATTTTGAAAACATTTTCCAGTTGAATCCTGATTTTGAGTAAATGTGAACTTAGCACATTCAGTTGCGAATTGGATGTATTGTAATTGATCATCTTGAATCACACCTGACAAGTTTAAAACTTGAATCGAAGAAATTAAAGTTCCAAGAGTAAAAATTCTTGAATTATCAAGTCCTGACGTTTCATTGTCAAATAATCCATGAGTGTCCATCAAAATTATTCCGATTTCTTCTCCAGAAATCTCGTCCTTATGTAGGAAAATATCATTCCACATATCAATCCCAGTTGTTACTCGAGATGATCCAGACTTCCATGTGAATCCAACAAGTGGTTCATCTTCTTTACCGAGCCAATTATCTGGATCCGACACAGGATTGTTTGGGTATTTAATTGATGGATACTAGAACAAAATAATGACGCATTCAATAATTGATAGTAAATATTTAATCAGAAGAACCAATACATACATGAGCATACAAGTATCGCAGACAGTAATTCAAAAAGAAACTTTTTCCTTTCCGATAAGCTCCAATGATTGAAAATGCGACAATTTTACGATGCTTAACATCTGGATGAAGGAACATGTCCTTTAATGGTGCATCATGAATAAAAACTTTGCTATCTTCCGTAAATCCTAAGACATTTTCAGGCCTACCATGTGGATGTTCATGACTTGACATTTTCAAATCTAATAAAGTGAGAAAAATTTTTAAAAAATAATTATTATTGAACGACCTTATTGCTTATCCAGCACTCGAAAAAAAAGTTAATAAATGCTTTAAAAAGTTATTTTGAAAATAACCATTAGTATAACAATTATTTTTATGGTTAGGTTTCCCCAGAAATTTCCCCGAAAGCACTTGTGTTTAATTGAACAGAAATCTGATGCCATAGCTCTGACATGGAGCCAGTTTTTAAATCAAATCCAGCTCCATGTCAGAGTCATGCCAGCTTGACTTTGGATTTCTGATCGATAAACCGACTTGTGCCTTCCTAGCTTGAGGATTAAAATTCTTGGCAATTTCCGATATTAAATCAATAACTCTTGAGTTAAATGACCGTGAATTATCAGGACCGATTAAATTTTATCAGTAAAAAAATATAACTTTAAGTTATTATTACGAAATTCCTATAAATATAACAAAATATAACTGATTGTTATCCATACCAAATTAATCATTCATGACGTCATTAATAAATAATATTTTTTTGAGGAATATTACAAAATTCTATCTTAAATGTTTGCCAATTTAATTCACATTAAGAAATATTTACCTTATTTTTTAAAGATGAAATAATTTTGCAAAATTTTATTTTATTTTTGATCCGAACACTTTCACACTCGCAGAGGAACTAAAACTTCAACACAATCTCTCATTCGCATTTATTCGCTTTACTTATTCAATCGGAATATAACATTTGAGCTATAATAACATTGATAACATTGCTTCAGGAGTGTAGTAAGTTGAAACCTACAAAACTTAAGGTTCGGATGTCATAAGAGTTTAAAGTCCACTTTTAATCAAGATTTAATTCCATTAGAACAAATATTAAAATCCTACATTCTAGTCAAACATATAGCTAGGTCTTGGTAATTACATCGTATATTTGATTATTTTAAAGATTTTGTCAAGTCACAGAAGCCATGGATAAAAGGATAGCAATTTCTATTGAGAAATATATTAATAAACAAGAATTTGAGTCTGCCCTATTGGACAGTTCTTGTTAAACTTCTGAAATGTTATTATCATCAAAATGTTATAAAATCCACCGAAAATCTACTCAGTATGAATGTAAGAGAAAAGCGAATAAATGCGAATGAGAGATTGTGTTGAAGTTTTAGTTCCTCTGCGAGTGTGAAAGTGTTCGGATCAAAAATAAAATAAAATTTTGCAAAATTATTTCATCTTTAAAAAATAAGGTAAATATTTCTTAATGTGAATCAAATTGACAAACATTTAAGATAGAATTTTGTAATATTCCTCAAAAAAATATTATTTATTAATGACGTCATGAATGATTAATTTGGTATGGATAACATTCAGTTATATTTTGTTATATTTATAGGAATTTCGTAATAATAACTTAAAGTTATATTTTTTCACTGATAAAATTTAATCGGTCCTGATAATTCACGGTCATTTTACTCAAGAGTTATTGATTTAATATCGGAAATTGCCAAGAATTTTAATCCTCAAGCTAGGAAGGCACAAGTCGGTTTATCGATCAGAAATCCAAAGCAAAGCTGGCATGACTCTGACATGGAGCTGGATTTGATTTAAAAACTGGCTCCATGTCAGAGCTATGGCATCAGATTTCTGTTCAATTAAACACAAGTGCTTTCGGGGAAATTTCTGGGGAAACCTAACCATAAAAATAATTGTTATACTAATGGTTATTTTCAAAATAACTTTTTAAAGCATTTATTAACTTTTTTTTCGAGTGCTGGATAAGCAATAAGGTCGTTCAATAATAATTATTTTTTAAAAATTTTTCTCACTTTATTAGATTTGAAAATGTCAAGTCATGAACATCCACATGGTAGGCCTGAAAATGTCTTAGGATTTACGGAAGATAGCAAAGTTTTTATTCATGATGCACCATTAAAGGACATGTTCCTTCATCCAGATGTTAAGCATCGTAAAATTGTCGCATTTTCAATCATTGGAGCTTATCGGAAAGGAAAAAGTTTCTTCTTGGATTACTGTCTGCGATACTTGTATGCTCATGTATGTATTGGTTCCTCTGATTAAATATTTACTATCAATTATTGGATGTGTCATTATTTTGTTCTAGTATCCATCAATTAAATACCCAAATAATCCTGTATCGGATCAAGATGAATGGCTTGGTGATGAAGATGAACCACTTGTTGGATTCTCTTGGAGATCAGGATCTGATCGTGACACAACAGGCATCGTTATGTGGAATGATATTTTTCTGCATACAATGGAAGACACTGGAGAAAAAATAGCAATTCTCGTTATGGACACGCAAGGTCTTTTTGATAATCGAACCTCACCAATGGACAATTCGAAAATATTTGCTCTCGGAACTTTGATTTCATCAATTCAGGTTTTAAACTTGGTTGGAGTTGTGCAGGAAGATCAGTTGCAGTATTTGCAGTTTGCGACAGAATTTGCTAAATACGCTGCATCCAGTAGTCAAGGAATGGCTGGAAAATGCTTTCAAAGCTTGATGTTCTTGATTAGAGATTGGGTAAGTTGATAAGACTGATGAGCTGATTTGTAAACCCAAGTAGACACTAGAACAGTGGTTTTCAAACTTTCTCAACCGCGATACAGGAGTGTATCGCGAAGCATAGTTTGAGAAACACTGCACTAGAAACTAATGTTTTTGTTAACAATTCGTCATACGGTCAAAATGACAAATTTTACAGCATGTTCCGAAAAAAAAAATGTCTTTAGTCAGCCTGCTAGGTCTGGTGGACACTCGGAATAAATATGTATGCCAAAGAGTAGATCTGGGTTAGCGTTAAAATGACATATACACATTAGGGTAGAACTTTTAGAGATTTTTTTAGGAATAAGGATGTTGTGCTACTTTGAATCATTAGCAAGCATCGATATTGATTTTTAAAAAATAAATTGCACTAAACTTTCTATGAAGCTTTTACATTTTTAACCATTAGCAACATAAGTGATCTAAAAATTGAGAGCTATAAGTTTTTCAAATACATTTAATAATTTAGGATAATCCCGATGAACTCTATTACGGAATCGAAGGTGGAAAAAAATATTTGCTCAGCTTCCTGGAAATAAAAAGCGAACAAAAGAAGGAACTAAAATCCGTACGAGAGTTTGTGCATAGCTCATTTGAAGAACTAAGTTGCTCATTGCTGCCTCATCCAGGTAAAAAATTGCTTGATAAATCGATGCTCACTAAGTATGTCTTGTTATTCAAATTGTAGGAAAATTTGTTACCGGTGCCAGAAAACTGGATGGTGAAAAGTTTAATGGATGTCATAAAGGAATGGATCATGAGTTCAAAGATGAGCTAATCTTTCTCATTCAGTATTTACTAAAACCAGATCGACTAATTCTCAAAAAGTTTAATGGCTGCAATGTTAAAGGACATGAATTTCTAGAGTATATTAATCAATACTTTGTGTTATTTCAATCAGACGAACTTCCTGAAGCTCAGACAATTTTCGATGCGACTGTTGAGAAGCAAATGACGATACTGGTCAATGCCTGTTTTGATAATTACAAAGAAACTGTTTATAGAAATCGAGATATAATTAAAAGTGAGAATCAGATCGACTTACTACATGATGCCAGTAAGAATAAGGCACTGCTCGCATTTAATGAAGCCAAAAAGATGGGAAACTCAAGTCACGAAGTTAAGTATAAGCAAATGTTGGAATTAGAGATTGACAAGCTTTATGAAGAGTGGGGACATCAGACAAAGGAAAGCATGAAGAAGATTGAAGAGGAAATTGAAAAGACTCGAGTTGCACTGGAAGAAAAGCAGCGACTAGAACGTGAACAGCTTGAAAGCGAGAAAAAAGCAGTTGAAAGGCTGATTGAGATTGAAAAGCTTAAATCAGAAAAGGAAATTGAAAAATTAAAATATTTGAAAGAAATGGAAATCAAACAACTTCAATGGGAGAATGAACAGAAAAGATTCACAGCTGAGAAGGAACTTGAGCTTGAAAGAATGAAATATGAGAAAGAAATCGAGCACAAGACATTTATGGCTCAGCAAGAGATGGAAAAACTGAAATTAGAAAGTGAAAATAACCGTTTAGCTGCCGAAAAGATTGTGGAAATTGAAAAATATAAAATTCAAAAGGAAATGGAGCATCAAAAATATTTGAGAGACATCGAAGCTAATGAAGCAAAGGACAGACTTGAGCAACAACGTTTAACAGCAGAAAATGCCCTAAAATATGAACTATTAAAGAAAGAGAAAGAAGCTGAATTCGAAAGATATGAAAAGAATGAAGAAGTAGCAAAAGCAAGATTGGAACTAGAAAGAGAACGCATTAATGCAGTCAGACTTGAAAATTCGAGGAATGAAGAAATTAGAAATAAAGTTGCAGCACAAGAAGAACTTGAAAAGATGAAATCAAGAGTTGCAGCAAGTGCTAAGAAGAAAAGTGAGTGCTCATTATCTTGAGCTTATCGAGACATGGATGTGGATCATTTCCTTATTTCTTCACTTTTAAGTAGGAAAGTTTATAAAGTAATTGTCGACAGTGATTTATCGGTAATAAATGTTTTGTGTTTTATGTGAAAATGTATTTAAATATCAATAAATTGTCAATAAAATGTCAACAAAATTTGAATAGAAAAAAATGGAATGACTTCTTAATACAGCTTCTTCTCTTAAGTTCTTTGATTTAATTAGTAGACTTTTAATTAAGATTCAGGACTGTTTAGCTAAAGATACTATTGACTCACCTAGAAAACGTCAACCCTATTAAAAATCTCATTTCATTTAATCACAGGACAATCCAGATGAACATCAATATGGAACTGAGGGCGGAATTGAATATTTACAGCAATATTTGACAGTTGAAAGTAATCAGCAAGAACAATTAAAATCCGTTAGAAGATTCATTTATGATTCATTTGAGGAACTGTCTTGTTCATTGATGCCACATCCAGGTAATTGAAGTGATTTGATAATGTGTGGTCGGATGTCCTTTTGGTAATTTAATCAATTATCGTTAATTGTAGGCAAAATTGTTACCGGATCAAGGAAATTAAAAAAATTAAAATATGACGGTAGACATAAAGGAATGGATGAGGAATTCAAAGACGAACTTGTTCAACTTATTGATCATCTGTTAAATCCTAAAAGACTAGTTCCTAAAATCTTTAATAATATCAAACTTAATGGATCAGAATTTTTCACTTTCATCACAAACCTGTTCAAAGTTTTCCAACTGCCAAACCTACCACAAGCTCAAACAATCTTTGAATCAACTGTTGAAAGACAAATGAGAAATTTAATTGATTCAATTTTGAATGATTACAAACGTTCAGTTAAAGAAGAACTGAATCTAGTCACAAACAGGTCAATGATTCAAATTCTTCACGACAAATATAAATTTAAAGCAATTCTAAAATTCAATGAGACGAAGAAGATGGGAACTGATCAACATCATGCCAAATTCAAGGACATTCTAGAATCCAGCATCACCAAAGAGTTCAATTTATGGAAATCACAAAAGGAAAATTACTTCCAAGAACTTGACGACTTTCGAGAAATTCAAGAAGCAATTGAATTAGAAAAAGTTGAGCAACTTGAAATGGATAATCTACTTGCTCATATGAAATTAAAATTGAATCAATTGCAACATGAATTTAAATTAAAATCGGAAGAGATATTGAAGCTTGAAGCTATAAAAAAAGAGAAAAAAATCGCAGCACTTAGCCAAAAAATGCACGAAGAGACTCTCAATGATCTAAGGCTTAATGCACTGTTTGAATTGAATGAAATAAATCGAAAAAAAGAAAATGAGTTGCAAAAGGTGAAAAGTAAGCAGGAAAGTACGGTCTACATGACTTGTCGAAAGTGTAAATTAAAGATTAAATTCAATGATCTTAATAATTATTCTAAAAGTGGTCATGATCTTATGTTTGATAGTTGATTTTAACTAAAACCAAGTGACAAATCAAAAATTCCAAAAATTTACAAATTCACAAAATAATTCAAATTTTATTTCAAGTCCTTGCAAGTCCACCACAAACTTCATTACATTTTGCTAAAGTTTCAAAGTTATTTCCATTGGCACTGCATCCACCGTAAGTGAATCTATAAAATTATTTTTGAAATTATTTTTTTTGCAAATTTTAATAAATCATAAAATGTACACTAAGCATTTTTTCTGATCTATGTCATAGTAGAACCTTGGCATCATACCTTAAAAAAAGATAAAAAGCTAATAAATTTTAATAATTTTTGAATATTTTAATTGCATTTTTACTTCGACATGATCCTGGAAATTTCGGTAAGTTGCACACGGCTGAAAATGATGAATTTTAAGTTAGTGAATTTCAAGAATGTCAGTGATGTAGCATGTGTTCGAGTGGATGCTAGACGTTAAAGCAGTGACCAAATAAGTTAAATCAGAGATCGAAGCCGATTTTTTCGGCTTAACTCAATTTTTGATTTTTTTGATAGAAAAAAGCCATTTAACACCCATTTTAAGTATTTAAATTGAACTTTACATGCTTTACTATGATTCTGTAAAATATTTTTTCAGCATGTAGCTATAGTAAGCTCTGAATTTCAATTTAGCCGATTTTAAGCCGATCGGCTTAAATTTCGGCTTAACATTCTTTAACTTGAAATTCTGAGCTCACTATAGCTACATGCTGAAAAAATATTTCACAGAATCATAGTAAAGCATGTAAAGTTAAATTTAAATACTTAAAATGGGTGTTAAATGGCTTTTTTCTATCAAAAAAATCAAAAATTGAGTTAAGCCGAAAAAATCGGCTTCGATCTCTGAGTTAAATTTAATAAGGTCGAAAAATGACATATTCAACGAAATGAAATAAAATTTGTCATCAGTCGACCATTCTAGGTCTAGTTATTATTTGTCAACTGATATTTAATGGCAAAGCATTGTCAAGGTTTGTCAGGAGCTCTCCTTTCTTCCTCATGCTACTGACTTCAGACATAAATTTTTAATTTAACATACAATTATTGGCTCCAAAGCTAGTAATCGGAGGACTTGAATACACATGAGAATCACGTCCACTCATTACTGCATCTGGACTTGGAGCTTGCTGGCACTTGTATATGATTACGATTAAAATAAGCAAAGTTGCTTTATGGAGCATTTTTGATCTGAAACTATCGAGAACATTTTGGTAGAATTTTATAGTTTCTTGAATTTAATGAGGAAATTGTAACCAAATAAATGGATAAGAGGAGTTTCTTATATTTGCTTTGAAAACCTTAATTTCAATTATTTTAATTTTATTAAAGTTTAATAGAAATTAAATTTAACATAAAGTATAAAAAGAAAAGTCTAAATTATTTCAGCATTTTACTGTCAAACAATCATTTATTCAGCAATCACCATTGGCTCATCATCACTATCCAAAAGCTCTTCTTCCTCCTCATCATCCATAAAGTTTAAATAATCTTCTAATTCCTCATCATCCAAATCTTCGATCTCATTTTCATGCTCCATCACGTGAGTCCTCAAACTTTTTTCGTCAGAAAATTTATTTCCACAATATCCGCACTGGAAATTAACTCCACCATGATGTGACATAAGATGATATTTCAAATTCTTTGAGGACCTAAACCTAACCTCACATTGATTACATTTATAAGGCAGTGAAGCTTCATGAGTTTGCAAATGTGCTTGAAGATTTTTTGATGTTCGAAACTTTTTATTACATTTTGAACATGGAATGTTTGGAGATCCTTCATGTATCAGCATGTGACGCATTAGGTCACTACGCTGTGTAAATCTATAGTCACACTTACTGCATCCAAATCGACGATCACCAGAATGGAGTGGCATGTGACGTGCAAGGCCTTTTGGTTTTACGAATGCTTTATCGCAAATTTTGCATTTTATTTCTTGGGATGCTGACGGGATTTGTGGTTCTTGTTGTATTTCTGATTGCTTTGATGTTGAAGGAACATCTTCAGGCTTGGTTGTTTCACAGTTATCAATAGTAACTTCTAATTTCTCAGCATTTTGATCTTCAGGTTTAGTTGATTGCTTCCTATTTGAAGCTTTTTGCGGCTTATTGATCATCATTTTACTTCTGATTGCATTTGTGAACTCTCTGGATGTATTTTTGAGCATATATTCAGATTCGCTGTATTTTGGATTGATTTGTCGCCTTCTTTTCCCGAGATTTTCAGAGTTTGAAGTGTTTTGAGAGTCTGATGATTGTGAGCTGACAGGATTGACTTGATTAGATAGTTGTGGGGAATTTGAATTGATTGGTGTGCTCGGGTTTGAGGACTGTGGAGATTCAAACATGGTTGGGGCATCTGGTTTTGATTTTTGTGAGCTTTGTGAGGATTGTATTGATTTTTGGGATGATGAGTTGGTGGTTTGAGGTTGTGAATTGATGGATTGCAGTTGTGGTTCAATTTTTTGTTGGATTTGGTAAGGTTTTTGTTGAGTGGAACCAGGATCTTGTTGAATTTTCATACCTTGGGAGTCTGGCTGAGCTTTTACTTGCTCTTTTATAATTTTGAATTTTTTGAACTTTTGTGGATTAGAAAAGATTTTCAGCTTCACTTTATCGACACTTAACTTTTTTATTACGGTTTTGTCAATTTTTGTGTCATTTTCAACAGATTTGTTGCTGTTTTGTGAGTCAGATGATTGCTGTCTTATTAGATTTTTATAAATTTCAATATCTCTGATTATATCCATTGTCTTTGTTGTAACTACATCTGTGGTTTTGATGCCATCATCTTCTTGTTTACCAAACTTATCAATTTTAACTTCTTTTAATTCAGAATTAACTTCTGAATGAGTAATTTGCTCCAGATTGTTCTCTTCCTGCTCAACTTGCTCTAAATTGTTGTTCTTCGGATCAACTTTAGTCAACTGCTTTTCCACATCTTTACCTTGTATCCTTTTAATTGATTTTTCATTACCATTTGGATGTTTATTGAGTTTTTGAACTCTTTTCTTAATTTGCTCAGAATCCGTGTCAAGTGTCTTAGCAATCTTAGGCTCTGATAGTTTATCATTAACTGAATGCTCACTTTCGTTACATTTTAATTTCCTGGTTCTTTTCTTGACCTTCAATTTCATAGATTTCAAATTTTTTGCTACTTTTTTGATGGATTTATGATCAACAGCTACAGAATCTTTAACATCATTACCAGTTTGATCACCTTTGGGTGCCAATTTGTCAATATGACAAGCTGAGATACTTTCCAGTTCATCCTCATAGTCAATGGTTGCGGTTGAGACATTTTGATTAGGATTCACGAAACCTTCATTTTTCAGATCAAACTTGACAGCATCCTTTTTAATCTTGCTGTTGCCAATCTTTTGATCTCTTTTCTCCACGTTTGAAGACTCTTGAACTTTCTTTAGTTCCTCTAAATCAGCCAAACTCTTTTTAACATCCCGACTCAGTTTTAATCTTTTGATATCACCTGTAGTCTCAATTTTAACTCCATATCCAATGCTATTACGTCTGGGAATCTTATGCTTTAAAGCAAATAAACTTTGGAGCACGACTTGCGAAGGTTTAATCATTTTGTTAGGTTTTGGGTCGATTATGTTTGAAGTTTGAGGCTTTTGTGGACTTAATCTGATGATTTTCTGATGGATCAGGCTTTGATTGACTGTTGGCATTTTTGAATCGGATTTTTGTAGCTTTTCTGGTGATTTTGCTAAAATTGATTGATTATTTTTAGGCACATTCAACTTTTGTGGTTGAATTTTCTGGATTTTAGGACTTGGAGCGTCAGGAGTCACATCAAACTTCATTTTTAACAAGCTCCTATGATCATATGCACTGTCAATTGTCATCCTCCTCATGACAATCTTATTCAGTGACTTTGTTTCAAATTTTGGTGCATCTTCAGGTGCAATTTTGATAATTTTATCGAATATGTTTTTGGATGGCTCCGATTCAGGTATTGGAGCTTTCTCTAAATTTTTCATGCCGGAGATTGGTGCTTTAAGCAGCGATGCTGGAAACTTTATGATGTTTGGTTTTGATGCTTCAGTCATGTTGGTACTGTTAGCAGTTGTTGTCTTCGGCTCTGGCTTAGAGTCAACTGGCTTTGATTCTTTGACAGCTTCTACGTTCTTGGCTGTAGACTTTTCAGCAACTTTCTCTTTTTCAGCAATTTTAACTGCATCAAGTTTATTATCAGAACTAATCTCAGCTGTTATCTTGGGTTCCTTTACATTACCAACAAGCTTTGAAATTGGATCCTCAACGAATATTTTTGCATCTTTGCCCAGAAAGTTGTCACAAGGCTCATTTCTCTTCTGTTGTTCTTTAAACATTTTCATGTCTTTATTTAAATTATTTAAAAATTCTGTGTAGCTTCGGCTGAACTTTGGGGATCCAATTGGATGCTTTGTTGTGGTTTGGATTTGATTTGTTCTTATTTGAGCATGTTGCTGGTCAAGTTTTGTTAAGGGAGTAGTTTTGCTTGGTTGAGATGTTAAGGAAGCTCTTGGATTGACTAATGGTGAACTTGTCGTTGCTGTTATTGATGTGATTTGTTTTGTGTTTTTTTGTGAATTTTTTTTTCTATCAAAAAAATCAAAAATTGAGTTAAGCCGAAAAAATCGGCTTCGATCTCTGAGTTAAATTTAATAAGGTCGAAAAATGACATATTCAACGAAATGAAATAAAATTTGTCATCAGTCGACCATTCTAGGTCTAGTTATTATTTGTCAACTGATATTTAATGGCAAAGCATTGTCAAGGTTTGTCAGGAGCTCTCCTTTCTTCCTCATGCTACTGACTTCAGACATAAATTTTTAATTTAACATACAATTATTGGCTCCAAAGCTAGTAATCGGAGGACTTGAATACACATGAGAATCACGTCCACTCATTACTGCATCTGGACTTGGAGCTTGCTGGCACTTGTATATGATTACGATTAAAATAAGCAAAGTTGCTTTATGGAGCATTTTTGATCTGAAACTATCGAGAACATTTTGGTAGAATTTTATAGTTTCTTGAATTTAATGAGGAAATTGTAACCAAATAAATGGATAAGAGGAGTTTCTTATATTTGCTTTGAAAACCTTAATTTCAATTATTTTAATTTTATTAAAGTTTAATAGAAATTAAATTTAACATAAAGTATAAAAAGAAAAGTCTAAATTATTTCAGCATTTTACTGTCAAACAATCATTTATTCAGCAATCACCATTGGCTCAGCATCACTATCCAAAAGCTCTTCTTCCTCCTCATCATCCATAAAGTTTAAATAATCTTCTAATTCCTCATCATCCAAATCTTCGATCTCATTTTCATGCTCCATCACGTGAGTCCTCAAACTTTTTTCGTCAGAAAATTTATTTCCACAATATCCGCACTGGAAATTAACTCCACCATGATGTGACATAAGATGATATTTCAAATTCTTTGAGGACCTAAACCTAACCTCACATTGATTACATTTATAAGGCAGTGAAGCTTCATGAGTTTGCAAATGTGCTTGAAGATTTTTTGATGTTCGAAACTTTTTATTACATTTTGAACATGGAATGTTTGGAGATCCTTCATGTATCAGCATGTGACGCATTAGGTCACTACGCTGTGTAAATCTATAGTCACACTTACTGCATCCAAATCGACGATCACCAGAATGGAGTGGCATGTGACGTGCAAGGCCTTTTGGTTTTACGAATGCTTTATCGCAAATTTTGCATTTTATTTCTTGGGATGCTGACGGGATTTGTGGTTCTTGTTGTATTTCTGATTGCTTTGATGTTGAAGGAACATCTTCAGGCTTGGTTGTTTCACAGTTATCAATAGTAACTTCTAATTTCTCAGCATTTTGATCTTCAGGTTTAGTTGATTGCTTCCTATTTGAAGCTTTTTGCGGCTTATTGATCATCATTTTACTTCTGATTGCATTTGTGAACTCTCTGGATGTATTTTTGAGCATATATTCAGATTCGCTGTATTTTGGATTGATTTGTCGCCTTCTTTTCCCGAGATTTTCAGAGTTTGAAGTGTTTTGAGAGTCTGATGATTGTGAGCTGACAGGATTGACTTGATTAGATAGTTGTGGGGAATTTGAATTGATTGGTGTGCTCGGGTTTGAGGACTGTGGAGATTCAAACATGGTTGGGGCATCTGGTTTTGATTTTTGTGAGCTTTGTGAGGATTGTATTGATTTTTGGGATGATGAGTTGGTGGTTTGAGGTTGTGAATTGATGGATTGCAGTTGTGGTTCAATTTTTTGTTGGATTTGGTAAGGTTTTTGTTGAGTGGAACCAGGATCTTGTTGAATTTTCATACCTTGGGAGTCTGGCTGAGCTTTTACTTGCTCTTTTATAATTTTGAATTTTTTGAACTTTTGTGGATTAGAAAAGATTTTCAGCTTCACTTTATCGACACTTAACTTTTTTATTACGGTTTTGTCAATTTTTGTGTCATTTTCAACAGATTTGTTGCTGTTTTGTGAGTCAGATGATTGCTGTCTTATTAGATTTTTATAAATTTCAATATCTCTGATTATATCCATTGTCTTTGTTGTAACTACATCTGTGGTTTTGATGCCATCATCTTCTTGTTTACCAAACTTATCAATTTTAACTTCTTTTAATTCAGAATTAACTTCTGAATGAGTAATTTGCTCCAGATTGTTCTCTTCCTGCTCAACTTGCTCTAAATTGTTGTTCTTCGGATCAACTTTAGTCAACTGCTTTTCCACATCTTTACCTTGTATCCTTTTAATTGATTTTTCATTACCATTTGGATGTTTATTGAGTTTTTGAACTCTTTTCTTAATTTGCTCAGAATCCGTGTCAAGTGTCTTAGCAATCTTAGGCTCTGATAGTTTATCATTAACTGAATGCTCACTTTCGTTACATTTTAATTTCCTGGTTCTTTTCTTGACCTTCAATTTCATAGATTTCAAATTTTTTGCTACTTTTTTGATGGATTTATGATCAACAGCTACAGAATCTTTAACATCATTACCAGTTTGATCACCTTTGGGTGCCAATTTGTCAATATGACAAGCTGAGATACTTTCCAGTTCATCCTCATAGTCAATGGTTGCGGTTGAGACATTTTGATTAGGATTCACGAAACCTTCATTTTTCAGATCAAACTTGACAGCATCCTTTTTAATCTTGCTGTTGCCAATCTTTTGATCTCTTTTCTCCACGTTTGAAGACTCTTGAACTTTCTTTAGTTCCTCTAAATCAGCCAAACTCTTTTTAACATCCCGACTCAGTTTTAATCTTTTGATATCACCTGTAGTCTCAATTTTAACTCCATATCCAATGCTATTACGTCTGGGAATCTTATGCTTTAAAGCAAATAAACTTTGGAGCACGACTTGCGAAGGTTTAATCATTTTGTTAGGTTTTGGGTCGATTATGTTTGAAGTTTGAGGCTTTTGTGGACTTAATCTGATGATTTTCTGATGGATCAGGCTTTGATTGACTGTTGGCATTTTTGAATCGGATTTTTGTAGCTTTTCTGGTGATTTTGCTAAAATTGATTGATTATTTTTAGGCACATTCAACTTTTGTGGTTGAATTTTCTGGATTTTAGGACTTGGAGCGTCAGGAGTCACATCAAACTTCATTTTTAACAAGCTCCTATGATCATATGCACTGTCAATTGTCATCCTCCTCATGACAATCTTATTCAGTGACTTTGTTTCAAATTTTGGTGCATCTTCAGGTGCAATTTTGATAATTTTATCGAATATGTTTTTGGATGGCTCCGATTCAGGTATTGGAGCTTTCTCTAAATTTTTCATGCCGGAGATTGGTGCTTTAAGCAGCGATGCTGGAAACTTTATGATGTTTGGTTTTGATGCTTCAGTCATGTTGGTACTGTTAGCAGTTGTTGTCTTCGGCTCTGGCTTAGAGTCAACTGGCTTTGATTCTTTGACAGCTTCTACGTTCTTGGCTGTAGACTTTTCAGCAACTTTCTCTTTTTCAGCAATTTTAACTGCATCAAGTTTATTATCAGAACTAATCTCAGCTGTTATCTTGGGTTCCTTTACATTACCAACAAGCTTTGAAATTGGATCCTCAACGAATATTTTTGCATCTTTGCCCAGAAAGTTGTCACAAGGCTCATTTCTCTTCTGTTGTTCTTTAAACATTTTCATGTCTTTATTTAAATTATTTAAAAATTCTGTGTAGCTTCGGCTGAACTTTGGGGATCCAATTGGATGCTTTGTTGTGGTTTGGATTTGATTTGTTCTTATTTGAGCATGTTGCTGGTCAAGTTTTGTTAAGGGAGTAGTTTTGCTTGGTTGAGATGTTAAGGAAGCTCTTGGATTGACTAATGGTGAACTTGTCGTTGCTGTTATTGATGTGATTTGTTTTGTGTTTTTTTGTGAATTTTCTAAGCGAATTTTTGGCTTTTCTTGGCCATTTTCTAGTGGATTTTTCAGACTGCTAACTTCTGATGACTTCTGTGAGTCAAATTTAGTCGAATTTCTTCGTTTCTTGTCAACAGAGCTGCTTTTTTGATCTCCAAGAACCTTTTGTCTAAAATTAGCTATCGAGTTCCTCCTGTAGTTTCTCTTGTGCTGCACAGACACTTGACCAACTGCAGTTGATGGAATCTTTGATTCCGTTCCTTGAATATTATCAAAATTCTCAGAATTTTCGTCTTTTAATTCCACTACTGAATCACTATATTTTTCTAAAGGAACCAACTTATTGCTTTGCGTGCATCTCACAAATTTCTGACACTCAAGCTGTTTGAAGTCTGTTGAGCTTGTTATAGTCACGGCTTTGATCGGAGTGTACAAATAATTCTTGGGATCATCGTCGAATTTGAGTTTTTCTAGTAAATGAATTTTATCTTCAATATTTTGGATTACTGTATCGATGTCGATCATTTTTGGGAGATTTTGTGGAATCTTATTGATATTTTAGTTATTTTTTGTTGCTGTTGTGTTTATTTGTCAAAATGTTCTACAATCATTTGAAAATTCAAATATTTTTTGTCATTTTAAGTCTTTTTGATCCAATTTTGAAGGTTTCAAGTTGATAGATTTCTTTTAAAGCATCAAATGGTTCCAAAAGTATGAAAACCTTGAAAATGTTTATCAAATTTCAATCTAAAAAGACAAACAAGTAAGTAAAATTGAAAATTATAACATTTTTTTTTGTTTACCTTTTAATAAGTCCTTTTGAATATTAAATTTCAATTTAGGTCGAAAAATGCAACTTCAATGACTTTAATTTAAATATGCAAAATTCATAATATGAACCTAATGCTTAGTTCTCTGTGCTGGATTAATAAAATTTATTTTTTTCTTTTTGAAAACTTGGTTGTTGATAATAACAAAACTCCGCGAAAACACAACACACGATGAGTCAGGACGGAGATGATTAAAAAGTTCTGGTAAGCTTTGAAGTCAAAATTAAACAGCTGATAGATTTGAATTTTTAAATGTCGTTATTTTAATTTTAAATATTTTTTTTTCATTGGAAAATAAAGCTTCGGAGTAGATTTAGTATAAAATGTGACAAGGGGTCGTTCACTTATGACGTCCATCAAAAAACCTGATTTTTCGACCCCCCCTACCCCCCTCTGTCACAAAAATTCTATAGAAAAAAAATTCCATTGTTTGAACTGTCACAAAATCCTAGACCCCCCTCCCGCCCTAAATGTTGGACGTCATAAGTGAACGGCCCCCAAGCAATATTTGGTTTTATGGATTATTGAACAAATTAAAATGATTTTTTTTTTCGGCTGTTTGCAAGGGCGAAAATTAAAGCTTGGGATCTCTGTAAGCAGACATCGTAATAACCTCAGTTTGATGTAATAGCTCAATTCCGCAGAGTTATTTACCTTCCTTAATGTAAATTTCTTAAAAAACAGTTTATTTTTGTTGTAATTCAACATTTTTAAAGGCGTGGAAACTCAGAATTAATTTTGAAAGTCCCAAAATCCTTAAAATAACCCTAAGCCATTAAACATGAAAATGTGAAAACCCGAAATAGTTCATCAAAAAAGATTCCATATTTCCTTCTTAGGATTAATCCTGAGTTTCCACGTCTTGTGATTTATTTAAATAATTTGAGAAACACGTGTTGATTACGTTCAGAAAGTTTTATTGCAAAACCCGTTACATAAAACACTTGATGAGTGCGTTCAGAAATTAGATTTTTGTTTTAATTTTTATTAAATTTGAATTTCAGAAAACCGTTAAATGACAAACACATTCTATATTCACATTTGATCAATAACATGAGAACTTTTTAAAATTTTCACCTTTTGATTAAACATAAAATTTATTTAATTAATTTAGAAGAAAATTTGATAACTTTGCTTAAATTTACCAGCAATCAAATGTGGAGCTTAGTTAAGATCAGAAAAAGATGTAACATTGATTTATTAATAAACAGTGAAGCTCACATGTGGCACACATACATATTGATTAAAAACTATTCTTTGCTAGACACCTGATCATCCCAATTTTAGTTTTTTGGGTTTTAGTCCTAAATTCTCTCCTGATTTGTTCAATTTTATTCGTTAATATTTTGTAAAACTTACTTCAGCAAAACACAGATTAAAAACTGTTTAATTTTTAATTTTAATATATTTTTCGGTAATTTTAAATTAAATTTCTTTATTTCACATCGGATTTAAGGTTTTTTGTAAACTTATTTCAAAGAATTTATCAACGAAACTAAAATTATAATCACTAACCTTTGTGGAAATGTCAAAACAAGATTATTAAAATTACATGTTATGTTGTACATTTGTAATTTTATTTTTGTTAACACATTTTTTATTTGTTTTTTGTTCATAGTAAATTCGAGAAAAGTGTCATTATTCAAATATAACAAAAGTAAATACTAAAACTAATTCATTGTCAATTGTAGAAGAATCATACAGCTATTAATGAGGTTTTGTTCAGTATTAATAAAAGCTACTTTTGTTGTCTAAATCCTTCTCTTGATTGTCATTTTTCAAAAGCAAAGGAACTGTGTTTTTAGGAAGCCATATAAAAGGGCGCAGTTACAAATTTAATGAATATATCAATTGTCAATCTTCAATTCGTAAACCAACATTGCTTGAACTTTTTAAGCTTAATTTATCATAAAGATCTGCAAACCAGCTGTGAACAACAGATTCTTACCCAAAGGTCCTGCTCTATTTCGCGTTGTTTCTAAACAATCAGTTTGAATCCATCATTGATTGCGTTCTTAACTGTGTCTTTAATTCCGTGTCTCAACTAGAACCAAAACGATAAAATGTCACTCAAAATTATTAATTTGAACAGTTTTAATTATTAAAGCAAATCATTAAGTTGCAAACTTATTTTAAGCACCTGGTAGACAGCACATAACAATCCAAACGCTCATCACAATAAAAAGATTAAATTTCAACTAATATAAATAAAATTTTTAAATGCAGTTCAGTTTGTGAAGAAACAAAAAATATCAACAATAATTTTACAACTCAATCACGATTCTTCCTTAGTGTGCACGTAAGATGGGCATTTTTTTAAAAAAAAGTTGATACACGAGAACTCTTGGCGCTGATTAATTTTCATAACAAAAGCTGCTCAAATTTTTTTAAAAATTTACTTTAGTCTTTGAATTGAGTTTGAATGGGAAGGAAAGATTTATGATAAAATAAAATGAGAATACTTTGGAGTGTTACAGTTGTGTTTTTGCTGAAAATTCAGCGTAAGTAAGATTTAATGACACCTAAAATAATTTTTTGTCCAGTTTGTTAAGATGAGTATTTTATCTAGAAAAGATTAAAGGAAAAAGTTTAAAAATTCTAACCAATCGTGTTAAAGTTATTGCCCAGTTATATTTTTAGCGCATTTTCCTTAGGAAACAATGAGTTTATGGGTCCACTTTCTGGCTGGTTGGCTGGCTTTCACGAGTTCTCGAAACTGTAAGCGCTTGGATATCTCTAGTTTTTTGCATTAGATCGCTGCTAATTCATGGGTTTGCAGATTTTTTGTTGTTGTTGAAAAATCCTTATAGATTATTAATTAAATTAACTTTCCTTTCGCTTATCGTTGGCATAACTTATTTTTACATAACATTACTTTGAATTTCAAACAAAGTTAATTTTTGAATCTCAAAAAACCGTTATATATATGTTATTTATAGATCCTAGTTTTAGTTCCGGACATGAATTCTATCCAACTGATGCATACTTTTTAAGTTCCGGACATGACTTAAATGCTGCTGGATGATGGTTTTCAAGTTTCAGGAACTTAGTTTTTAAATTTGAATTTCCCCTTGGTTGAAATTCTTAGTTATTGAAAGTGAAAACTGTTGTTTGCTATATAAAATAAATACAAAATGAAATCGTGTCTACATAAGCTGTACAAGTTTTAAAACAATTCACGATTTTTTTTGACCTAATAAAGTTCAAATCCAGAAAACAATGTCATTCATGAATTTAGCGGAGGGATCGCCTTCATTCCGATTAAAGTTTGTCTGGAACAATTAATTTCAAAATTGATATTTTAGGTTATTTGGGTTGATTGAACTCATATGGTCATATTTAATTACTAAAATGATTTTAATTTAATTTTGTAATTTTAGTTTTATTTGCCGGCGGTGACGGAACATGCAGCCCTTTCATTTCAAAAGCAATCGAGATTTCTGACACGTTTACATCAGCAATTGACTCAATGCAAAGCGATTGCATTAGATCACTAAGCTTGCATGCAGTCATACAGTCTAACCAGCCATACACAGACTTTGCGAATGCACTTTATGAAATTTATAGTCACTGTGCTAAAAGTGAAAGTGATTTATTTGTGGATATGTATGATGAGCTGCACAATTTGATTGATCCTAGTAATATTCATAATGGTGATACTGTTGGTGACTATTTGAGTGGATCAACTGACACGACTCGCTTCCCATTCCTTTGTGTTGCTGAAAATATTGAGAGTGCTTTGGATCTTTTAGCGATTTTTGATAAAGAACTTACTGATGCATCAAATATGCACTTGAAACATCATCAGATGCCTAAAGAGGATTCTATTGAGTCATAGAATTTTTGATATTACTTTAAAATTCTTGTAAATAGTTAATTTTAAAATTATAAGTTGAAATTTTAGAAATAAAAATAGAAAAAAATTGTTTTCTGATTTGGCAATGCAAAGCATTTTCATCAAAATTGTTAAGTCTAAGGTACAAATTAAATACAAATTAAAAGCTTTGTTTGAGAACAAACACAAAGTAAGGCTGTAAAGAATGTATTTGCATTAAGCATAAAGTGTCTCTCATAAATGCAAATCCATGCATGTGTTTGAAATTGAGCATCCGAAGTTAAAATGCAAATGTGTTGTTCGTATTTATTCAACTGAAATTTACTGAATTTTTATCCGATCGATTCATTGTCGTTTAAGTGCTTTAAAAGTGAAGACATAACATGAATAGTGGCAAATAAAGTGTTGTTTTTTTAATAATTGAAATGTAAGCAAATTTTTTAAATTTTATTCTAAGGTTTTTTTTAATATTATGGTATTAATTTAATATAGTTTCGGGGTAGTTCATTTTGTAAATTATTTCGAAAAAAATACCAAAAACCCACCATAAATTTTAACATTCAACAAAATCATAATTCCTCTTTATAAAAACTTGCAACTTAACCGCTGTAAAAAAAGATCTTAAAATTTTTAAAAAACCAAAAAAAAGATATTTTTTAAAAGATTAAATTGAAGTTAATTTAATGAATAATTACATCTAAGCTTTCTCGATTTCTCGGTCTCGACAAATTCTCGAGACCGAGACCGAGACCGAGACTTCCCGGGAATTCCCGGGAAGTCTCGACTTTAAAAACTACTTAAAATTTCGCTGAAAGTAATGAAAAAACACTTAAAACATGCAGATTAGGTCTATTTGTTATTGAACTTCTGGATATATTCCTTGTTATGCGATCAATCAAACTAATTTTATTGTCTTAATACTATTATAAAATATAAAAGAAATACGAAATACGTAATGATAAAAGAAAAGCATAATGATAAGAAAGTGTGTCCCTATTAAAACTATTCTGGGTTTTGGAAATGACTTTTCACAAAAACGATAGCATTTAAGTTTTTGTTAAGCAATCGCTTCCTTTGCTTGGTCAAAACATTATTGCTGATTGAAAAATTACGTTCACTCTGGGTAGATGTTGGTTGAATGCTTAGCAGTGCATTATACAGCTGATTTAATTTTTAGTGATATTAAACCATTAGGAAGCTCAATAATTTGCACCCGAAAAATCCCATACAAAAAGAGAAAAAATCCCATACCTCCGAAGAGATTGAAGCAAATGAAAATTTCATGTGTGAAAATGCGCAAATTTCAAGGTCATTTACCCTAACTGTAAGATTAACTACAAACTGTGATGGGAAAAATTCTAAAATTATCATTTTTACTTAAATTTTTTTCTTCTCTAGTCTCGGGTCTCGGTCTCGGAAAATTCTCGAGACCGAGACGAGATCGAGACCGAGACTTCCCGGGAAGTCTCGGTCTCGATTTCGTCATCGGGAAAGCATAATTTACATCTTATAAAAATGGAATTTATGTATTTAAATAGACCAGTAGGAGCAAACCTTTTTTGTGCTACGGTACACTTGATGTAAGTCATGATCAAAACTGTATCCAACACAGGTACACACAGGTTGATCATCTCTGAAATAGAAAATCTCTTCGTTCACTTATGACGTCTGAAATTAATTGTTATTTTTTAAAAAAAAAACAATGGATTTCCTAGAATTTTTTTTTTGCTCTGATTCCGCCCAGCCCCCCCCCCCCCCCACCCCTAGACGTCATAAGTGAACGGCCCTTAGTTTTATAATATTTTCAACAGAAAAATTGTCAAAGCTTAATTAAGTTTTTTAATATTTTTCCTTTCAGATTATTAAATGAAGACACCTGATCGATCAAGCCACATAAAATTCTTCAACAAAAATTCTTACATCAGCACTTTACGCGACTCATATTCTCATATTTAAGAATGAGTGAAGACAAAAACTTATAAATTTTGCAAAATCGTCTTAATACAAAATTTTTGCTGACTTGCAGCACTTGTTGTATGGAGACAGTGTTAAGGAATAATATAAATCAACTAACATTCGCTGTGGCTCTCGAATATTCAAAATCAAAAATCAAACAAAGATTTCATTTGAAAATATTGGTAAATGTTCATAACTTTTAACCATCGACAGTCAGAAAATTCGACAGCAAATGAGCAAAATTTTAAGGATTTAAAGAAGATTTGATCTCGAAAAGCATTTTTACTGGCTACAAACCTGATTTTATGAATGTTTTTCTCTTTTTTTCCAAAATAGAACCAATTAATTTTGTCGCTTAATTGTTCCACTTCTACCAAAACTCCAGATTGTTATTGCAGAAAACTATGTGGAAGGTAAAAATAATAATTTTTTTTTCTCATTCGGAAATCCGGAATTATCCTTGGGGGTCGTTCACTTATGACGTCTAGGGGGGGAAGGGGACAGGCAGAAAAGAACAATAGAAATTCCTGGAAATCCATTGCTCGTTTTTGAAAAATGACCGTTAATTTCGGACGTCATAATTGAACGGCCCCTTGGTTAAAAATTCAAAAATTGACAATTTTTTTAAAATCTCTTTTAGGAGTCAATGCAATCATCATCCAGTAATCAATAAATTAAAAAAATAAATTCAATCTGGAGGATCGATTAGTTAAGCAAGTTGAATGACGTACGTAAAAAAAAACAAAATCATTTGACAATTTCAAAACCTTGAAAAAACAATAATTCTTAAAAGATACAAAAATAATCTTTAGATTTAATTAAACAAAGCAAAATTAATATTTTATCATTAAATAAAATTTTAATATAATTAGGATAGAATTTAAGTTTAGTATTTAAGCCACAAGTTGAATTTTTAATCAAAAAAAAAAATGAAATACTGGATTCATGGTCGTAGTCAGAGTGGTGATTAGCAATGTATCAAATGTTGTTTTTCCTAAACTTAACAGCAGAGGCATAGCCAAGAATTTGAGGGGTGGGGGTTAAAAAAATACTTTTATATGGAAAATTTGGGGATGGGGAAATTTTTTTTCATAAAAACCATAACAAAATGAAGAAACGTCTGTTAATGTAGGGCCCATAGCTACGTGCCTGCTTTACAGTAAAAGCAAACGACTTGGAGAGTTAAAATGTGATTAAGTTTTTATTCTTCAATTAGTCATAATTAAAATCTTTTAAAATTTTAAATTAAATCTTTTTATGATTTTTAAAATTTATCTTTTCAAACATTTTTGATACAATTTTTCATGCTATGCCGTTAGCTTACTTAGCACAAATTGTAAAAACTTCTTCTGAGTAAAACAACTGAAATGAAGACTCTAACAACAAATTTGTACTTCCTTATTCTTTTTGTTTAAAGGAACTCGAGAGGAATTCAAATTTTATTGTCCTTTCAATTCTATAATTTTTGTAACACTGATTTAATAGATAATTTTTGCTCTCATTTTTTATTCTCTTTAGATTTAATTTTCTCTCTCAAGTTGAGATAGAATTAAATATTTATTTTAAATAAAGTGCTTGATTTTAACGCAAAGAAAAAATTTTTTAAGAATTTTTTAACACAAATTATTAAATGCAAACGATAAGTTTTATTGTTTTTCTCATTTTTCTTTGAAAGGATTGTACACGGGTTTGTACTAGGAGATTGAAAAGCAATATGTAACCGTAAATTACAAAAGAATAATAAGAATTTCGTTTGTTTATAATGTCATTTTGTATAACTCACGAACGCATATCGCTACTGAATGCAACCATCAAAGATATATTTTATAATCCGCATACAAAGATAGTATATTTTTATGATTTTATGACAATTAATATGCTGTCAGTTAAAGAGAGTCATTTGACTTTATTCTCTATTCCCTACAGGTTTAGTTTTAGCGATTATTTGAATTCTTATTTATAATTTTTGTGACAAAAATTCATGTTTTTAAAATATTTTTTGAACCTGTATTTTATACAATCGTATTCTGATTTCTCTGTGTTTCTTTTAGGGTTCTCAATATTGAACTGATTTTTAACCAGTATGTGATAATTTTGCCGAACTTAATCGAATTTGTCATCCCAGTTTAATTTTTTTTCCAGTCTTTTTGAAAGAATAGTCTCAAGTACATTAATTATGTTAGGACTAAGCCAAGTAGGTCATAAATTGACGCCGCAAATGATAAAAATCCTCTCTTTGTGTATTTTACTTGTTCAGGACTTTGTGTGTTAATTCTAAATGTATCTGCTTTTTTTGTCATACATGATACCTAGTATCTTATGTTTGTCCACGGGTACAAAGGGATTTTTAAAGACAAATCTGAAAATAAGAAATTCGAATAGACTTACTCATTAGTCTAGGCCAATGTTGTCCAAACTGTGTGCCGTAGAATTTTTTTGAAACTGACATGAGCCGCATGCTGTGTGCGACTTCGGTCATGGCTTACCCCTCAGGTGTGCCGTGGCTCAAAAACTTTGGACAACACTGGTCTAGGCCTAGACTAGCGATATGCATACATTAGTTATACATAGTTTGATCTTATAAGAAAACTTTATTTAAAAATAAAGGTGCCTATAATGAAAAATAATATTTTGCATGAATTTTGCGTACTCAGAAGATTATTTGTTTGGTAGATTTTTTTTCAATTTGCGCCTAAAAGGCTTTATTTATTACTTAAAAATTTCAAATAGTTAACAATTATGTTTTGTTTATCCAAAATATAGTATGAGAGATGAGTTAAGTTGGAGAACTGAACAAAGACTGAAATGTCTCTACTTTATTCTTGCACTTTTAAGTGTTACAAAACCCTTACAATAATGTTTGGATTCTGGGTGCTTCCCAGAAACGATAAAATGTGCAGACATGCGAAAAATGTGTTAGAATGTTACATAATAATAATAAAAATTGTGTGAGGCACAATTCTTGGGAAAAATAAATGTGCACCACATGTTGTGCACATTTATTTTCTCAGTTTATAAATCTCCCGTAACTCCTCCCCTCTTAAGTCGTGAACGTCCCGGTCACGCATTTCCACCGCTCCTGCCGCTTCCGGATTCCTTTCTTCCTCGTTGTCTTCCTTCTGATCTGGTGTGATTACTAGCTTCCTTCCCATCTTGCAATATGAATGTGTTTTGTAAATAATGTATGCTATTGTCAGGATTGTTGCTATTGTTCCTGCTCCTGCTGCTGTTAATACTTGCATCAGGTGAATGTTATCTAGTCTGTCTCTATTTTTGATATGTAAGTCGTGAAGCTCGTCCATCTCTACGAGTGGTTCTTTATTCTTTCTGTTGATTGTAACTAAGAACAGAAGTAAAACAACTTTGTCGTTAAATTTTTGTTCAAAGTTTGAAAAAACCTGACCGTTGATGTGGACTGTGCAATTGTGGAAGTTTACAAGTATTGTGCCTTCTACCGTATGGTTTCCGATGCTGAATGTATTTGCCAGTACCGTTGGTGTTTGTATGTTCTTGATCAAAATGCTTCCTTCTTGAATCATTTCTACTGTTAATTTTGCCTGATGTTCCTTGAATACGCAATTTCCTTGCTTATTTGCTGTGCAATTACGAATAAATTCAAATTTCTGAGTTTTTCTTGGTTACTTTTAAAATTTTTTTCTTTAATAAAAATTCTTATTTGTCTCTACCGTAAAGACTTAAATTTATCCACAGAAAAAGAAAGAAAATTCTCTAATTATTATATTATTTGGCTTTTAACACAATATATATATTTAGTTTTTTTCCAAAAATTCTTGTTAAGCCCAAAAAGTTCTATTTTTTCCTTATAAAAAAAATTCCTAATCTTAATGCTCTGATTTTTTTTCTCTGCCGTAGAGATTTCCCAGTTAATTTTAATATTTATAATTTCCTCGACGTTGAGAATTTTATATTGAGTCTGTTCCTTTTCGATTCCAAATTTGCACTATTCCAAAATTATTCACGAGTTTCACTTTTTCACTTTTTGTTTTTAATCTCACCCGATAAGTGTTAATTTATTCATCTGTGATCCGTATCGTGTATTTTCACGTCCTAAGTCGAGCACGATTGTTAGTTGAATGATGTCACAAGTCCCTGTATGATACAAAGTTGACTAAGGCAATTTTTTGGTAATAATTCGGTTAATTGTCTTTAAGATGTGACATTTATTCTAGTATCAACATTTATTATATTTAATTCTTTTCTTACTCCATCATGATTTTCCATTCTTTTCTTCAATTTGATAGCTCTTAAAAATTGGTTTTGTTTTTTTTTTTTGAATCGATTCTAAATATTTTTTGTCAGACATATTTAACAAAAATGAGCAATAATCAAAATGAGGCTGCACTAGAGACCACAAATGATTCTGCGTCACTGTAAGAAATATTATTTTATTCGCAAAACTACAAATCAAAAGAAGTGTAATTAATTTTCCATTAAAAACGTCCTGTTTATTCAACAGCTTTTTACAAACTTTAAACTATTTGACTTAGACTCTCTTTCCGTGACACACTACTGCTCTACTGCTCTCATTCATTTTAAACCCTTGCCTTTTAATAAAACCTAATTTTTTGTTCAATTTTTTTTCCACATTTTCTGAGTTCACATTGAAACTCAAATTTTCATCAACAATTACCCCTAAATATTTCATTTGATTGACTTTTTCGAAAGAAACATCAGATGCACAATTCATAACAAAAATTGATGATTCTGTCGTATTTGATTGATTTGTCGTAAATAAAAAATTGCAGCTCAAAATGTCATATAGTTTTAAGACAAAATAGATTTAGATCTGGAACTGGAAAGGAGACAAAATTATTAAAGTTTAATAATTGTTTTGTTGGTTCTCAATATAGAACTGCTTTTTATTACATAATTTTTCTGCATTTATACCAAATAAGATGTTTACATATTTCTTATGATAATGCGTATGCAGCATTATCAGCATAAATTTTGTATGTCAATTCATTACTTAATTTTTGGACTTTTGACTATTTTTGCTGATAATTCTTTTTTGTTAATACAATTTTGTTGATAATAATAATTGTTGAACCAGGCTTCATTTCCTGGTTGGCGTGTTTTGTGGTACTATAGGAAATGAAGCCTGGCTCAACAATTGGAACACGCCAACCGTCGCAATCCCAATCCCGACCTGATCGTGCAAGTGAGGAGTAATAATAAATAATATAGTTGCTAGTGCCAATAATAACTATTTATTTCAACTCATAAAACGATTACAATGCGTGAATATTTAACTACATTTACTCACTGATATGCTGTCAGTGGAGAATTACAATAAATTTCTATATAAAAATTCTATTCTTCTATACTCCTGTTTAAATGGATCTTCTCTGAATCATTGTAAAAGCATTTCTTGTGTTTTATTTTTTTTTAAAAAAAAATTAAAAATTTTATAAACTTTTTTTTTAATTTTTTTCTGATTTTCGGAACCGTCTCAAAAACAACTTCGTTTTTAGATAATTTAAGTGGACAGTAACCTTCGCATACTGCTTTCTTCTTACTTTTTCTTAATTTTAGGATTAAATCGTCATAAAATTTGTTTTAAAAAGAATAATATTCTTAATAATATTCTGTAACGTTATGGAAAGTTAACAGCATCATACATCTATCTCCTTTTTTAATCTTTTTATTTTTACTCTTCTTGCCATATCTTTCATTGTTTATTAATTATAATACTGGGATGAGTTAAGCTTGAGAATTGAACAAAGACTGACTCGTTCATAAAATGCACTTTTTTCTTGCATTTTACAGCCATTCTATTGTAATAATCAACATATAGAGTGAAGTACGATCCCTATCATTCTTTTTATGATCTTTATGGGATTTGGCAGTTTTGTGCCATTGATCGCATTCGAAATTATTTTTTTATTGCTAAAAACTTCTTGTTGCATTCGTATTATATTTTAACTATGGATGTCTGTCCGGAAAAAGTCTATTCGTTTCGAGATTTAGTGTTAATATTAATTTTTTAAAAATTTTCCTTTCATATTCTTAATTTTTATATATTCTTTTAAATTATGAAAATATTTTAATTCGCGTTAACTTTGTTCAAACCGATTGTTTTTATTCAATTAAATATTATTTGGAACAGGGTTGCGATACAGGCACCTGTGCACAGTTGAGAACCGTAAAATTCCTTGATAATTTGTAAGGTTTTACTATCAAAACCATACAAATTCTAATAAAACCACACAAATTATCAATGAATTGTATGGTTCTCACCTGTGCACAGGTGCCTGTATCGCAACCCTAATTTGGACAATAAATGCAGTAAAATGCAATTAATTTTAAAATATTTTTTTGTTGTCTTAGTTATAAGGTTCGGTCATGCTTCAAAAGATGAAACTTATATTATTCGTCAGTTAAGTCAACTCTGACAACTACGCCCATGAATTTTTGATTGTAAACTTCTTAAAAATCTAAATATTTGTCAAATTATTAAATTGTGAAAAAATATTTTAATTAAACCACAAATTTATTAACAAAATTTAAACTTTGCATTTTTAATTATTCAAAATATTTTTATTTTTTTTTTAAATTGTAAATTTATTATGTAGGTTTTAAGTTTTTAATTCTAGGACTAATATTTTTTATTTTTTATTTTCCAATAAAATAAAGATTGACCAGAAAAACAACAGAAATCCAGAAAAATACTGGTTTCAACTTTAATCAGTTTCAATAAAACCAAAACTAGTTTTACATAAAATTTTAAAATAATACTTCAAAATTCAACACTCTTAAGATTCAGCTCAATTCAATGCACAGCACACTCAACCCTCCTTCAAAGCCTTTTGATCCTCAAAATATCACAAATCAATCGCAAAGTGAAAAAATAAAAAATTTCAAAAAGTGACAAAACTGAAATGCCAGCAAAAAGTCCCAAAAGTCCACCAATGTAGCTTAAAAAGTCAAAAAATCTAAGTTGTCGAATTTGTTGAGTCATTACAAACTCATTTTTCTTAAATTTTATTGTAAGTTCTCCAACATCCGATCGTCTGTTAAAATCATAACGCGTTTCTGAATAGTCAAATTTATAGTTGATATAGTTACACGGTTGAAGGCAATTGCACAGTCGCTGCAAAGTCTCTCTAAAACGTATCTCAGACTGAATCTTTTAGACGCACGTGTAGTCTGGTACTTCACAAGTTTTTGTATCATTAAACCTAATTGCATCAAATGGTTCTAAAATCGGGAATATTCCCGGGAATTCCCGGGAACGAGAATCTGTCGGGAATATTCCCGAAATTCCCGTTTTCATACCAAAAAAACCGACAATTCAAATTAGATTTTTTTTTATTTTGTATGTTCCATGAAAAAACTACAATTTTAAGAAAAAAATTATAATAATGAAAACATACGTTAAGGAATTTAAGAGTTGAAATATTAAACTCAAATTTGATGTTTTTTAAATCAAAAACATATATTTATGAAAAACGAAGAGAAAAAGTATTTAAAAATATTTTTTTAAATGTATGATGTCCACAAAATAATAAACTTAATTGACATTGGATTAAAGTAATTTTCCCAAAGTAAAAAAACGTGCTTGAAATTAATATTGGATATGTAAGTAATCAAAAAATCAGTTCATAAGCTGTAACTTAATCATGTACATATTCGTAGATTATCAGAAGTCAATAAATTAGGATGTCTTAGGTTTGGAAGCATTTTACAGTTATAGATGATCTCACTGCAAGATGTAATTTCATTCCTTGCCAGAGAGTCTTGAAAAGAAGTGGAGGAACTAAAGGTTTGTCAGAACATTTGAAGTGAGTCCATAAAATATTCGAGGAACCAGACACTAAAGAGACCGTCGTCAGTGAAAACCCAGCCAAAAAACAAAAGCTTATGACAGAATATATTTCAAATTCATCATTTGAGGAAGTAGTTTCAAGATTAGTTGCTGAAGACAATTTAAACTTTCATCAAATCGCCAATTCATCATTCATTAGATCTAGTTTATAAGCTCAATTTCCAAGCAAATTGATTCTAAAGAATGACACTACTTATGCGAAAATTGTGCATGACTTTTAACTACAAATTGAGGATATCACCAGAAACAAAATTTTGGTGCCTAAGCAAGATGGAAAGAAGTTTTCCGCGTCACTGGATGAATGGACCTCCCAGGCAAATCAACGTTATATGAATATTAACCTGCATTATAACATTGATACATCCAATACATTCATTAATTTTGGAATGATTCCTGTCAATTCAACCTGTCCTGCCATCAGAATGAAACAAATTTTCGAGGAACATTTACATAAATTTCAAATATATACCAATATGGATATTGTCGCCGTAACTGATGATGGAGCTGCTGTAAATTTGTTGTTTGGCAATTTATCTAGCTTCGAATATGTCACATGCTATAATCACACTATTCACTTAGCTGTTCAAGACACGCTTTATAGTAACCAAAACAAATTTGAAGTTTGCTTCAATGAAGAAGAATCTGATGAAAGTGAAAATATAAAAATGAAGAGGATTCTGATAATGAAAATACTGAATATGAATTCAACGCAAAAATTGAAAAAACCATTAAAAAAATTGGCGAAAGTCCTCGTGCTATATATCGAGGGACTTCAGCGCATTTTTGTGTTAGCGATCAGTATTTGATTATATAATTATTTGCGTTCATTTACAGATCATTAAAAGATCAGAAGATCATCAATTTAAGTGTAATTAAGAAATAATTACAATGAATGCTTATATCGAAAAGCTTTATTATTTAACGATCTTTTGGAATTCAAATTTTCAAACGATTAATAAATAATTTGAAATTTTCCCGCTAAAAGTTGCACTATAAAAACATTAATTATAGTATAATTTGTTGCAATGAATTTCCATACAGAAAAGATTTGTCATTTGTTTTTTAAAATTTAAACTTTCTAACGTTCAAAATACATTTGAAATTATCCCACTTGAAGTTGGCTTTATTGTTTACATTATTTTGAAATCAAAAAAATCATTAATTATAGAATTTCCCGATGATTTTGAGATTTATAACTATTCGTCGCCGGAATAAAACAATTGAACACAGCTAACGCAAAAAACTAGAACTATCTACGAAGTCTAGATCAAATGTTTTTGCAAGCAGCCGAGCAGCCGAGCAAACGAACAAAGCGTCTTATTAAGCTACCTTTTTGAAACAAGTTTCAAAAATGCGCTAAAAATGCGAAAAGTCATTAAATTATTTTCAACTTTAACAATTAAAAATAATATACTTCAAAAATATGTAAAAGTTATTCACAAGAAGAAACTTGAAGCTCAAGAAGGATGTAAAAACACGTTGGTCAAGTCTATATTTATCAATTGAACGATTTATTTTATTGGAGCCATGTATAGTCAACGCTTTGTGGAACAAGAATATAAATCAATCATATCTATGGGATCATGAGTATACGGATATATTAAAAGAACTTTAATAATTTTAGAGCCTGCTAAAACAGCAATTCAATACCTGTCTTCAGATTCAACTAATATTTACACAGCTGAAAGAATTCTAATTCTTATGCTAGACACTATGAAGAATCAAAAAAGTGGACTTGCTTCAACATTTTATAAAGCTGTTAAAGATCGCTTAAACAACCGTCGTAACATCAAATTTTCTGATTAGCATTATACTTACAAAACCCTGATATGTTGAGTACAAATCAGCACTTTTGCTATCCATCGAAGAAAGCAATTCAAAAATATGGACAATCAATAGTTGAACATTTTATGAATAAGGAGAGTTCATCAGCAATCGAACAACTTGAATCTCAAGACTGTTTCCCGAGCACTTCTCAGGCTAATTTGACACCATCTGAACGACTGAAACTGAATCTTGAAGAACTAATGGCATCACCTACAATTTCAAAGCTTACAAATGATAAATTTGATACGATTCGTAAAGATTTTGATTACTACGACAAGTTTCAGCATAAATCACCATGCCTTTTGAATGTATCAGATTATATTTTATCAATTCCACCAACATCTACAAGAGCTGAACGTAGCTTTTCAATCTCCAATAATATTGTCTCAAAAAATCGCACTAGATTGCTAGACCAGCACGTTATTGCAATCAGTTTTTTAAAATCGTACTTTAAGAATTGTTCTAAAACCAAAAAGAATTGATTTTTAAACGGAATATATTGTCAAAAGAATCAATTTGACAATCAAATCAAATAGAATTTAAATTTGATTGAAAAACCTAAATAAAATACATGGTGTAAGTGTAGCTTTTAACTTTTTTTTTCTTTGTTGATTCCCGGGAATATTCCCGTTCGCGGACATCATTCCCGTTCCCGTTCCCGATTCCCGAAATCTTACGGGAACGGGAATTCTGGAACCCCTAAATGGAACACATTCATAAGATTCAAGTAATTTCGTAGACAGGCACTCGATCTCGCAGTTCCTTTGCGAGTAAGTTTCATAAAGCTTCAACTTCCTTTCATCTTCCAAGTAGCACATCCGTCGACTCAAAGGCAGTTTAGCAAACTCGTCACTTATAGTGACAATCTCTGGCTTTAATAAAAGTTCAGTAGACACCATTTCATCAAGTTTAACTATGTTCTGATCATAGCTTAAGAGCTGAATTTGATACTCAAATGGCAGATGGATGTAAACAGTCACATGTGATATGTATCTATAATCAATCAATATCATCATGGTAAATGACTCATAACTTTGAGGACTACTTTGAATAAACTTTAAATGAAGTTAAGAACATAAAGCTGATTTGTTTCAAACCTTTTCCTCAGGAAATAACGCAAGATTCAGGATTTAACTCAGTTTGAGCTCGGTGAGTTTACAACCGTCAAATGAACATCCATTGAATCAGCAATTCCTCCTTTTTTTTAAATTTTATGCAGCATAGAGTTTTAATAATAAAAAGATGAGAATTAGAAAACACTACAGGATATACTTTTTGAATGTATGGATATTCTTAAAGTCTTTTGTATTTTTTATTTTTATCTAAAATTTTAAATGATCCACGTTTTTTATTTTTATAAGCTGTTATCAGTTTTTGACATTCAGTAGTTCCATTCAATTTCGCATAAAATTTAACATTTACAATCAAGAAATTATAAAATCAATTTTTAAAGCACTTCCAATGATTTTTATAACATGAATTTTTTTTCAAACTAATAGCAATTATCAAATTTTATATTAAAACTGTGATTTGATTACAAGCAGCACTGGTTATGTCCAAATATTTAAAAATATGAAAATCACAATTTTGTATGGGTTTCTAAATTTTTCAAATTTAAAGCTGCTCCAAGCTTCGAGACTGTACAAAATGATGTAGAAATGTTTGTACAACTGTTTTACACAGAACTGCAAACAAAATTTTAGTTTAAATGGCTTATTTGGGCTGATTTCTTTTTTATGTGAGCGCACAAATTTTAACATGGTTTACCCTACTAAAGAAATGTTGGTTAAATTTTTGGATGCTTTACCTTTCTAAAGTTCTAATTTTTGGATTAATTATATAATTAAGTCCATGAATTGAACTTTTGTAGAAATAATCTTCGAAAAACTCTCTCAAAAATCCATTTTTTAATTGCAATCCATTTGTGTTCCTGAATTTTCGTCTTGAAATCAACACCCAGGTATTGAAAATTATCTCAAAAGCTGATAAAAATGAAAAACCAAAAAATAATCCCAAAACTCAGCCGACAAATGAAAATTAGCCGATCGTCGTAACTTTAACGCTATAAATACTTGCAAACACCTAGAAATTAATAAATTCTTTGGAAAAAAAATTAAATAAATTGGAATCATCAATTCCTTACATTAGTTGCGATCACAGCCTGCTTTTTCATATAAGAATCATACTCAATCTCCTCACACGGTGGGTAACACTTACAATTGACATCATCAAATTGTTCATATTCACGATTGAAACAGTCATATTTAGTTATGCTGCATATCAGTGATGTGTCGTTGTCTGCATTTATTTAGAATTAATGAAAAAATATCAAATCTATGACTTAATTGCTTACTGATAAAATAATAAGGCACACAGCCGCACTTTTGTAAAACAAAATAGCTCTCGCATTCTCTTAAGCAGTTTATAGATGTGTAAGTCTTGAAATATTGAAGTTTGCGCTTGCCAGGCTTAAAACAATGTCGTCTAAAGTGTAAAATGAGTAAAGAACTATTAAACTAGCATAGAAAAGGGATTTGCCTAAGACATTTGCTTGAATCAAGACTTAAAGAATTATTTATCAATTCTGCATCTTTAGCTCTTAATGAACCAGTGAAAAAAAAATGTCTTGATGATTAAAAACTATTGCTAGGCGCGTAGCCAGGAGGGTCTTGCCCCCCCCCCCCCCCTTCCCCTTAAACATTTTGAACCGCATTGAGAGCACTGAATCAGGGACAAGAGGTAGACAAGACCCTCCTGGCTACGCACCTGACTCTTGCTATGCCACATACTCATCAACATCCAGGACCAAAAGTGTCTCATCAGTAATTTTAATTTTTGACTCGATTGTGACTTTAAGGAACTGATTAAAAGTCATTATTAAATGTCGATGCTGTATACTCGGCAGCTCCCATGGTGAATGAACTACAATCATTGTTCCTCGACGATCAGAATATTGGTTATTATTTATAAATTATTTAACTTTTATGAAACTTGAACTTTTTCTTTCTAGAACTGTTGCCTGAAATCCAGAATCTTTATTGAATGTAAAATATGGTGGCTTGACAGTGTTGTTTGGTGCTTGATTGCTGACTTGCATCTTTTGATACTGAAAATATTCAGCTACAGAATTTTTGTAAATTATTTCGAGCTCATCCACAATATTAAAAGTATGGCACCAGCCATAAGACGACAAGGTCATGCACTCATAAATTGTCAACTTTTCCATCCAGATGGCATCAACAGATATTATCAAACTTCCAAAGAGTTCAATGTTTTGCCAGCGAATTTCTGGAGGGACGCAAAACTTGTGTGACTGAAGTACGACGGCATGAAGTGTCCAATCAATTTGAAACTTTACCAGAATTAAGTCCATATTACGTCCAATTGCGTCCAACAAAAAAATAATTGTGTCCTACTTCCTGTGGCTGGATATAGCAGGTTCCATTTTTGGGAATTATGCCTTCGTACTTCAGGTTTTAAAACGGCATCATTTCCAAATATTAACTTTATTAGACATATTATACATCAAAATTGATCTCTTAATTACGTCCAATTGCGTCCTGCAAAAATTTTTGGAATCGGATATAACCAGCAAGAGTTATGGACTGTCAAAGTTTTGGACAGTACTACTTGTGGACCAATATTTTTTTACCCAAATCCTATCATGCTATATATCAAAACACGTCTACTTTTCCTCAGCAGCTTAAATCTGATGGAATTATTTAAGTCCAATTCATTTTGGACCTATGGCAGTTCCAGTGTATTCAAACCTGTACCTGCACATATCGAAAGTTTTACTTTTACCTGTTTAATATATATTTTGACAGAGATTGTTATTACTTTATAATCTCAATTACAATCTTATAATTTTTTTTTTCTGGAGTTTTCTAAAAAATTTCCGATATTTCTAGTCCTTTTTTGTGATTTAATAACTCAGAAAGTAAAATAGTTATCAAAATAAAGTAAAAAGTATAAAAATTGCTAACATAGTGGAAAGTTTTTCAAATAGGTTTTGCAAGATAATTTCCATATGGAAACTCGGAAAATCACTTTGAGTGTAGAGAAAAATTAAATTTTTATTTTCCCTTTTATTCATCGCGATTT